TGATCCTATCCTCCGACAATGTACCTCTCTTACCTCGAGTAAGCCGCGAGTATTCGGCCCAACTCCTACTAGACATAGAATTAAGTGAATATTGTTACAAACAAAGAACAATGAACTATCAGCTCCGTAAAGCTAACGTGATTGAGCCTTCCAAATAAACGAACTAGTTAAAAAAAAACATGTTTTCCATGTATAAGGCTTACCAAGAATATTGCGTATAATTTATTGTGTATAGCGTATCACTGAGCAAGATCGCAACATAACGTGGCAAATTCCTCAAAACAATAAAACGCTTTTAATTGTTTTGTTTTATTTTTTTCTATCGTAAACTACAGATTTATTCCTGGACCCCTCTACAGTGAATATGGTTAATATTTTCATCCACCACCTGGTGCGGCAGAAATCGAGTTAAAACTAAATCATTTCTCCGAGGTCTTAAGTTTCTGCACATTGGACAGCAATGTTGAACGGAGTGCAAAAATGCAAGATTTGATAAGGGAAGTCGACACCCATCTCACGGTGTGGAAGAACGAGAGTGACTAGAATGCATAAAACATGACAGCGCTGGTTGGTTCTTTGTTATCGAAAGAGAAAATAAAAAGTGGAATAAATCTGTAGCTTACGATAGGAAAAAACATAACAAATCAAAGCATTTTATTGTTTTGAGGAATTTCCACGTTACGTTGCGATCTTGCTCAATGATACGCTATACACAATAAATTATACGCAATATACTTGGTAAGCCTTATTTATGGAAAACATGTTGCCGCCATATTGGATTCCAAAATAGCGACTGGAATGTATATCTAACCTTTACACGTCGTCCCTTTTCGAAAATTCCTACATTGTAGGATATTTGACAGTTTTTCTTAAAACCGATGGCCGCCATCTTGGTTTTTAAAATGGCGTCTGGCAACGGGTTCCGGCCTCTACACGTCCGGAAATACCCATATTGTAAGTTATTTGACAGTTTTTATTGAACCAATGGCCGTCATCTTGAATTTCAAAATGGCATCTGGCATCGATTTTCGGCCTCTACACGTCGTTTTCTTTCCGGAAATACTCATATTGTATAGTATTTGACAATTTTTCTTGACCCGATGGCCGCCATCTTGGATTACAAAATGGCATCTGAAATCGATTTCCGGTCTCTACATGTCATCTTCTATCCGAAAATAGCCATGTTGTAGGGTATTTGACAGTTTTTCTTGAACCGATGGCAACCATCTTGGATTCCAAAATGGCGTCTGACATCGATTTCCGGCCTCTACACGTCGTTCCCTATCCGGAAATACCCATATTGTAGGGTATTTGACAGTTTTTCTTGACCCGATGGTCCCCATCTTGGATTCCAAAATGGCGTCTGGCATCGATTTCCGGCCTCTACACGTCGTTCCCTTTCCGGAAATACCCGTATTATAGGGTATTTGGCAGTTTTTCTTGACCCGATGGCCGCCATATTGGATTCCAAAATGACGTCTGGCAACGATTTCCGGCCTCTACACTGTAGTGTATGTGATATGGTTGATGTAAAATAAAAAGTAATTTACTTTAATTTCGTGTGAAGTCGTCAAAGTGCATTTGGCAACACTGGGAGTCGACACACATGACATAACTGGACGATTCATACGCGCCGAGAGCAGTTGAGTATGAGCTTCGGAAAGCTCCGAATACACAAATGTGATTCGTGTCATGGAAAACGAAGATCGGCTTCGAGACTACATCAGACATCAGACGAGGGAGATAGAACAAATGATTGTTATGATGCTCTGGGATAGAAGAGTGCAAAAGGATGGATGACTGATTCATCGAGCTGGTTCAGGCTGGCTAGTTGCTCGTCTCGCATTCTTGTGTCAAATTTCAAAGCGGATGGACGTAGCTGATCAACGCGGGATGGTTTGGCTGGCGTCGTTCCAGTGACAAAAGATCGAGGCTTGCAACCTCGATCTGAGTTCACGACATACACGTCATCCTTTTTCCGGTTCCTGATCTCACATTGCACAGCAACATCTTATATGGACAAGCTTTGGAGTCATAACATATTAAGGAAGTTCATGTGCACACTAGCGCCGCGTAGTGTGAGGGTTCTGAAATAATATGACCATCATCCGAAAGGACTTAGTGACCTGAACAACTTTTCTCAAGACAGTAACCTTCTATATGGCCAGGTTCTCGAGATACAGCTTATACAGAAAATTCACTTGCACACTAGCGCCGCGTAGTGAGCGTGTTCTGAACTAATATGAACATCATCCGAAAGGACTTGCTCACCTGCACAACTTTGCTGAAAACAGCAACTTTCTATATGGCCAGGCTCTCGAGATACAGTTTATACAGGAATTGCACATGAGAGTGAGAGAGTTCTGAACTAATATGGCCACCATCCGAAAGGACTTGGTCACCTGAACAACTTTGCTCAAGACAGTAACTTTCTATATGGTCAGAATTACGAAATATTCTATGTTGGAAATATGATCCATATATTATAGCGCCCGTCATAAGTAACATAAAAGTGAAGCGCCTCTAGCGGCGTAGTTCCCAATTTAACCTGAATCCAATGGCACAGGCTTGTTGGTCTAACCCAGTACAGCAACTTTGTCGAAGACAGTATAGCTTTATGTATTGAAATAAATGAGATGATCCACTACAGCCCCCATTAGTGAAAATCCCATAAGCTGTGGGTATCCTTATTCGCGGTTCCTTATTCACGCCCCCGTTACCCCGGCAATAAGGATTCCTGACTGTACAATATAGAAATGCAGAACGGTGCGGTGGTCACTACGCGAGTCTTGTCACTATTATCAAGTCATAAAAAGTAACAAGGGCTAAAATGTGATTACTGAAAAATCCTGATGCTTGGGACTAGCAATCATCCTCAATGTGTAAAACTGGTGATCTTAAATTAGGCAATACTAGAGTCGGTGTATAATGAGTCACGCCAAGAGAAAAACAGTTGAACTCGCATCACGGTTTCCGAAGGATTCCCTTTCTTTTCACTTGGCAACACAGGACTTCTACATCAACTTTAAATGACTTCTAGCAAAAACCAAAAATAACGGCTGTAGTGAATCATAATATCAGTGATTTTGTCAATTTATCTTATCAAAAAATAGTAGAAATTCTCATTACTGATCAAAACCAAACGTATCCCATGACCATTTAATGCTCGCTGCGTGTTTATGATGATTTCTTCAATTTTATTTTATATTTCATTGCAATACCTTTCGTGGACCTTTCATAGCATCGTAATGTTTATTTACTTTGCACGATAGGTAGCCGATTTGACAGTTCAATAGGTAGACTTGGCTTCACTCTTGGCGTGACTCATTATACACCGACTCTAGGCAATACCAGCGCCGGTCGCGCCCTAACGCAGGTCAAGAAAAGAATGGGTAGAAATGTGTTGACGTGACACTCGCTTTGATGGAAGCCGTGAAATCCTCTGCACTTCCTCGAGGAATCACTGGGATGTTGGGTAAGAGAGTTGGGTTTTCACGTACAAGATTTAAAAAGTTTATTAACAAACTTTTAATCCACCTATTCCTTTGCAGTTAAATTGTACCCGTTCAATTTTGGCAGCAAGCCCGAAAATTTAGTGTTGCTAAAATCGAACGGTCTTATTTTGAAATTCAATATATGATTTGGTTGACTTTGGACCACTGCGAGGCATCGCCATGACATAGACGTTACTAATAATAAATCTTTTATTAAAAGTTGTTGTTGTTGTTGTTGTTGTCCTGTGATGTTATTGCTAAAATCGAACCGTGCCTAAATCAAACGACTTCTGTACAAATATTTAAATTAAATAAATGGCAAGCTCTCACCAGATTCTGCAGTTTTTTGTGACCATTCAACACTGTTGACCATCATAATCACAAGTGTTAATACTTAGGAACGAAGTCACCAAATGAATCCATGAGCAATGTCAACAGAATAAAATTGCGTGGCGCTACTGGTACTTTCATGGTCCACCTTTCTTGCTTGAATCAGGATGATATCCACCTGGTACTATTCAACAGAATTTAACATGTTGCCTCTTCTTGAATACATCCTGATTTCTAGTGATTCCTTTTCTTCAGGGATAATTTCCTGTAGTCCTGTATCTGTTATCTTTTTGTAATTTTCACATTTTGATCGTCCAGATCAGATTCAGCTAATATGAAATATCACTAAAAGAGTCCCCAGGATCAGCCCTTGAGGTTCACTTGTCCGGGACGTCGTCGCAAACGAAATAACGTCGGGGGTTCACTGGAGGAGTTTGTTTTCGGAGCTGCTGCCCTCTGAAGCTTTGAAAAACTTGACACGGGTTTTGTTGAGAGTCACGCAATGACAGCCCTAAACTTGAATAACTTTAGAAATCACTATCAGATTGGTTTTTTTTTTATCCTGTTTTAAAAATATGCCGAAATCGTCTCTCCGAAAAAAAATCACAGCAAAGAAAATGCACGTCAAACTTGTTCAAAGGCAGAGCCTACTCCGAACAAGAACCTTGAAAGTACATCGATAGAAACCTTATTATACTTATTTCGATGCTTTTGATATCCTTATAGTGGTTCTCAGAATGTCGGAAAAATTGGTAGTTTTGTCCCTTATCGCAAAATACTAGACCCATTTATTTTTGAAATTTGTCACTAGGGTGACCATTTCCATGTTAGGGTGTATATCGTTTTGTTATGGAATGGCTGTATAGTTAATTTTACGAACTTCCAAAATAGGGAGTAAACATACAGTATCACAGTAAGAACTTTTATTATTGTGAACGAATTTATCATTGCAATTCAAGCTTCAATAGTTGTCGAAAAAAGTGACCACCTACAAACAAGTGACTCAGTCAGTAAAAAATGATCCGCTATCAGCCCTGCAACTTGTTAACTATGAATCTAATTTGGTACAGTTACAATTTTGGATGAGATGCTTTCTAACTGCGAGTGTAATGACAACCTAAGGACTTTCTGTACTTATTTCCTGAAATAAAAAAAACACACATTAGGATGTTGTCCTTTTTGTTTTCAGGTGTGATTTCCAATTGCCTTTGAAGTTTTATTAATTTGTATGTGTTTATATTTGGTATGATGAAAAATCGATTACATATGCACGTTTTCAAAGGTTTTCAAGTCACCCTCGCTTTGACTATTTGTAATAATTGATTTTTTGATTTTTTTTTTTTGTAGAACAAACATTTCCCCAAACATTTCCGGATCACGATAGTAGCAACTAAAACCGATAGAGTGTAAAACAGCACCTTCTAGGAGGTTGAGAAACAGAAAAATAAACAGTAAACCTAAATGTTGTCTTTGAAAACAAACAGCCTATTCTATCGTTGTACGTACATAGATTAAAATATATTCTGCGTCAAATCTGCTCGGCAAATCTGCTGGACAATTTTTGCTGTCGATAAAACCGGCCTTCCACGTATACGAAGATATGCAAATTAGTACATTCCGATGATGTGCCCTATAGCGTGTGGCAAATGACTATCCATATAGGTCATAATTGCGTGAGTCGATAGTAGCTATTGTCATCTTTTTCTAAAAATTCCATTCTATATGGCAACCAAGTTCCTTGAGATTAGCTCCACACAGATCCGTACGATCTCGTTCGGTTAAAAACATTGATTATAGTTTGGAAATATCTACTCTCACAGCATATTATATGATTGCTTCACTACTGATGTGTCTCAAAGGTTGTGCTACATCAACCCCGAACGCCATTACACAGAATCGCAGTTCGGGGAAGTGACATTCGGGGTAATGCAGCACAATTGTCTCAAAATGGTTGTTTTTCGGTGAAGGGTGTAAAATTCTACTTGCTGCTTCAAATGTGTCGTGAAGGCATTTTAAGAGTCCTGATTGTTGTACAGCTGTCGCAACGTACTTCAGATTGCTGTGAGTTGTAATAGTGTGTGTGTGTGTGTGCCATTGATAACAATGAGTCGTTCGAAACATATTGAGATTCCGTTTGTTTTCCTAGCTTGTTCACTCGTGTATTAGTCTGAACCCCTCAACTAAAATAATGCTCTAAAACAAACCCCTTTTATAGAGAAGAGAAGAAAAATAACAGTCAAAATCCTAAACCTCTTCCATTTCCGATGAAGATAAACAAGTGCTGGATCTTCCTTACCCACTACGACTTAAAGATATTATGTTTTAATAATACATATCGACAAGAACAAACAACCGAGCAAATAATATTAATCAATCAAGAGCTCTACATACCTATTTGGACAACGAAATAACAACGATTCACAATCTGAACGTCTATACACATATATAATATATATCTGCTGATATCTTGTGAGTTAGTTTGTGTACAATATGCCGGAATCAAACAGCCACACTAAATCTTACGAGTTAATCTTGAGAATACACCATACACGATAGTTTAATTATCCTTGGGCGGCAAGCAGACGGCCCAGCCCAGGACCCGACGGTCGAATCCCGACGAAAACAGATTACAAACCGTTGAACTGATATCTTCGGTCCAGGCCACCGACGAGACCATCCGCCGGTGACCCTGGCGGCTGGTACGGGGCAAACGTGCGATCCGTTGCCCATTCAAATCGAACAACCTTATGTGGCGATTATCATGCGGTATGGCAATGACTCCCCCTGCCGATACGGCCAATCGATTCACCGCCGAGTCCGTACGGATCGTAGTCAGTGCCGAGCGCATGTTCCGCAGTTCCCATACCTTGACCGAGCGATCATCCGAACCGGAAACCACCTTGTCATCCCGGGTGAATACAGTGGATGTAACACTCCTAAAAACGAAAACAATCCTAAATTAGAACACCAAACCGAACGATTTGCAGCTCCCTTACTCTGTATGGCCTTGAAACACCGAGACTGCCGGTATCGGATCTCGAAAATCCCACAATCGGAAGGTCGAATCCCGCGAGGCCGTGACCACCAACCGTTGACTTTGATGGGCCGACGCATGTGTCAGCTCATGATCATGTCCACATAGGGGCTGCAGTGGTTCCCTAGTTTCCACATCCCACAGAATAGCCGTGCGATCCCAACTTGCGGTGATGACCTGATCTCCTCCGGGAAGCCAATCAGCCGCAACAACCACAGAAGTATGCCCTCCGGGACCGGAAAACTCGCAAATCGGAGTCCTTAGGACATCGATTCGCTCCTTCTCCTCGTACGGTTCATCCTCATCGTCCAGTTCTTCTTCGGAGGAGTGTCCCTTTCTCGCTGGAATCTCCCAATTCACAGCTGCTTGCCAGATATGTGCCGTTGCATCCCCACTACCCGTAAGTACCAAATCTCGACTATGATGAAACTTGATCGAATTGACTGAGCCGCTGTGGCCCGTATATTGCAGCAGGCATCGACCAGTGTCAATTCCCCAGATACATGCACTATGATCTGCCGAAGCTGTACCAATGATCGGTTGACCCGTTTTAGTACTGACCTGCCAAACGCCATCCTTGTGACCACAAAACTCCCGCACCAACGAACTCACCACAGATTGAGCCTTGAAGCTGGAAACAATCCTGCTTGTTTGCGCCCGGATTTTGTGACTAGCTTTGACCTTACTTCCAGCGCTACCCAATTTGGACTTGAAGCTTTTGTTCACTGTTCCATCCACTTCGTACGAATCCTGCAATGGCAACAAGCGCTCGCCAACCATCGGATCCCGGGGCGTTCCAGCAACGGCCTCCAACTTCTCTTGCACTACAAAACAAAACAAAACTTTCATCATTCAAACCCTCTATTTCAGGTCTCAAAACCTTACAGCTCAAATTTTCCGCATGTAGCAGCTCAAATTCCCTCTCGATCTGCGCAAACAGATGATGCAGCCGCGCTCGGAACGGTTCTTCGTGGTGACTTCCAGTCGCCGAAGGCGGCCCAATCATATCGTCCGCCAAGCTGGACAGTTTCAGGGATTTCTTCGCCGACAACTGCTTACCTCCCGGGCCACCCACACCCACACCGGTTGCACCGCCAACCGAACCCACCCCGCAAACACAGCCCGTGGCGGAAATTTGCTTCCCTCTGTCGGGTCCACCCCCTGCCACACTACCATCCAGCGGCATCGTCCTTGATTAATCCACTCTTATAAGTATGTTGACACACTCGGTTATGCAAGCCACCTAATGTTGTTCGGCAGCTTCTGAAGCTAAAAATCCCTTCCACCACACCACAGAACCCAGAGGAGTGAAACAAAAAAATCACTCAATACAACCAGCAAGCATTTCCGGACATCCACAGACGGACACTAATTCGAACACCCAGCAGCACGAAACCGACTCTTGAATGAGCTCAACAAATTCTGCTGACCCAGGGATCTACAAAACGAAAATAAAAACTCTGTTTTGGAATGTCGACACTCTTGCAGATTGCAAAGATCACTTTTTTCGTTCTCCTCCCCGATACGTTGTTGTTTTTGCTGTTGCTTTTTCCGTCTTTGTTTTGCCTGCCTGGCCTGACGTTTATGCAACAATGGGAAAATAACAAATTTTGTGCTTGCATTGTGTACAGGGAGCTGAATGTTTTAGCAGTGCTGCGTGCCCAATTATAGTCACTATTTTAATCTATAGTCTGGCGGATATAATTTCGATCTATCAAAAAGTGGAATCAATTCAGTTTATTGTAGACCAACAATTGATAAGGTACACTGAACGAAGTATTCCGATTATTATCAATAGAAAAATCAGATGCATACGCTAAGATTCAATTTTAATAAGTTCTATATGAATCTTATAATCACTATATGATGCTCTAATAGAGATAATGTGATACCCCATAAGAACTATATGAGTTGCCATTAAATTTCATATGATTTACAGCTATCATGAAGGATGTGCAAAATCAGATAGAATGTACGTGATTTTCTAATGTGAAAAAACATAGTGTTTTCAAGATGGCGGCTAGCAAGCAAACTTTATTCGCTGATCTCGGATATCCTGACGATTTACTGCAGTTATTTAATCGCAGGTGTATTTTCTAATTTATTGGCGGGTAATTTTACATTTGTTATATTTCTAGAATATGGAATTACTCTGTTTGTATTGGTATCGTGTTCGTTTGAGGGTTTCAAAAACAGATTGAAATCAACGTCAGTCCAGTGGAAATTTTAGAGATGAACTAGCCTAAGGCTAAAAATCTCTTAAATAAAGAATTTAAAAAAAAAAAGTCCAGTGGAAATACGAAGTTTTCTTCGACGCTATTTAACCATGGCGGAAACGCAATGTAAGTTTTTTAATATATTTGTATTTAAATACATATTTTAACATAATTTAATAATTTAGAGATTGTTTGTGGTAAGAGCATTTCAGACAAAACCAGAGCCACTTGAGTCAACAGAGCTAGAAGAAAGACAATCGGCTCACATCGTAGACACTTCTGAGGAACACGACGATCATCCAAGTACGCCAGCTATTGATAATTCAGGTCGAAGAGTGAAAGAAGAATTATGTGAGGCTCCGGATTTCACATCATGCATTGGCTAATCTCAGCACCAGCAACTGTACAGACAACTGTATCAGAAGTAAATAGTTCAATAGATGAATCGGAACATCAATCTGTAGAAGCAAGCCCCGCATTTTCGCCAAAAGTCTTACAGTCGTTGTTGGAAGCAACAGAGGAAGGAAAAAAATCATTGAGAAGTCGCTTCTACTTTCGTACACACAAAGAAAAATCGTTGCTAAAATAAAAAAAAACCATTGGTAGAATTAAAAGTTTGCGTTGGTTCTTTTTGGTAGAAAGCGTTTTGCTTTCAAAATAAAAGTCAGCCAACTGCAGAGCTAAGATCGAAGCACAGAACTTGTTGAAATCCTTAGGGATAGCACTATCCGGTGATTCATTTGAAGAGTGCATATACATACGAAATCCTAAAAACAAGTGCGATGATCAAACCGGAAATTTTGAATTCGTTCCAGTCTCGATGGAGTTAAACGAAGATCCCGTTGATGAAGGTGGATTATATGATTGTGAAGATTTGTTCTCAGACACAGGGCTACGATTACAAGTCAAAACCGCTTCTGGATTCTGTCAACGGAATACTTTTAAAATCCGCAATAAAAATGGTAATGTCGTACACGTAAAAAAATCTACTTTTATATGGATGCTGCAATCTGAAGCTGAAAAAGTTTCACCGGATAGGTTACACAGATTTCATGATTCAACTACAAGTGAGTCCTTTCATCTAACGTTCAAAAACACAATCTTAAGTGAAATTACAATCGGCGAGTGGATTCTAATTGCAACTAGCAGTGGATTCCTGGTGTGCAAAGTTTATAATTTCACATATTTGAGTGGAAAAAGAACATCTTATTCACGAAACACTGCTCCCATTCATGTACCAGATGGTGTTGAAGCAAGAGGAATTGGCGTTAAAGGAACATTTTTTTAACTAATTCCTTTCGATGAAGACTACATTGTTGAATTATTGGAAGATAGTGATACTATCTGTATAGCCATCGAACATTACAAAACGCATCTTAAAAAACCTTCGCTAAATGCAGGTTTGATGCTGTTCGACGAGGAATCGGTAGAGTACATAAAATCATACTTAAACTAATCTGCTGTGAACTCTGTGATAAATAAAGAAAGAGAGAGGGAGGGAGAAAGAGAACAAAAAACCTATGTAGTTTCATTGTCTTGCTCAATTATTATTGATTTTTATATGGTGACATGGTGTAGCGAATGTTAGGGTAAAATAGGACAGCACCCCAGCGCAGAGACTCTCAAAGGCAGCCCCTAAGCAAAACGAATCTCTTATGGTATGTAGGGTTTCACGCGTCAAGCCGGATGAATCTGGGAAATGATAAAAGCAACATTGAAAAACTTTACGATCTCCCAACCAAGCCCAGCCCACGTACTTACATAATACCTGACGTTAATCCGCTGTATTCATTCAAAGCCCACTGCAGCAGGTGGGGCTTCACCGATTTCATTTTTATCTTTTTACCTCTATTCATATCCAATCATCCAGACAAGCGTCACACATCCACTAGATTGACACGGATTACAATGCTAGGATCCATCCAAATGCTCCTAAAAAATGGAAGGACATTGTTTTTATTGATCCATTTTCTTATCTCGTGAGTAGCTTTGTTACTTCGACACTTTTTTTGTCTTGCTGTCCTCTGCGTGTTCTTCTTTTCGCGAATTGTCTTTCCGTTCCAACGCAGCTTTTGTATTGTTGTTATTCAGCTATTTTGCAACGCCTGATGGTAAAGATGGATCAAATCACTAATCGTCTTTAGAACAACGACTATCCCCTTATAACAAGACTACTTGCGAGGCACCTCGAGAAAAAGCATTTTTCACGGAGATTAAAAAATGTTTCGTCCCAGTCTGACTGCTTTATCTGGCTCCATATATCCGGCCTGGCTAAAAAAAAATCTTCCGTCGTAGATGCACAGGTACTTGCCTAAACGAAAAGAGAAGTCGTGCCTTTAGTTGTCCAAATCCTCGGAATCCAGCCGGTTTCACCACTTTAAAAGCTGTATAACAATTATTGTTGCTTTTCCTGCCAAACAGCTGATGTTTTGCTCTCCGAAAACTGCTGAATTGGTCGACAAAAAAAAATCGAACAAATCTGACAGTTGAGTTTTTAGTGATGTGAACCGATATTATTCGATATCAAAGAGATGTCAACGTACATATAACAGATTTTATCGATATTATCGGATATTTCAGATTTCATTCAGTTCTTCTAATTGAAAGAGATAATTCTCAATAAAGTTTTAGGATGTGAATTCTATTTATTAAGGTTCAAATTTTAGATATCTTGAGATTATCTGGAAGAGTCGTTCCCCTCGGTTGACACTGGAAGTTCCGGAGGCAGCTTCTGCACGATTTCGTTTGAGATTTCCGTTGCTACCGGAGGAGGTTGCAGGGAGTTTCTAGTAAGTTTATGCGTGTTCACGGCAGAGAGAATACCATAGCATGATTTCGGTGGATATTTTGTATGTTACGGATGATTCGGGGAGATTCGACAGTGTTTTCAAATGTTCACGTCGGATAGAGTTCCGGGCGATTTCGATGGAGATTTTCGGTGCTGCCAACGGAGGTTCCAGTGGGTTTCATCAGAGTTTATTGCGTCCGATGCTCCCATCGGTTACAGGGAATTTCGACGGATTTTTTCCACATTCTCGGTCGAGGAGCTTCAGGAAAAAAAATGTCTCGAGTCAGGAGTGTGGATTTGAGCGAACCGATGTGAACAACAACATGTTTTGGTAGGAACTGTCACTTAAAGCATCACGCTACAAAAAATGCACAGAGAAAATACATTTAATTTTTTTGTTTCTGGTCAAAATGCATTTATTTATTTTTTGTTATAATCTGCCCCTAGAGAAAAAACTACCTCGATTTTAATAATTCAAAATATTTTCAGAATCAGGTGGTTTTTGCAAATTTAATCGTACTTATTTAAAATAGTTCCAGTGTACCAAAATGGATGAAATTTTGGGTTTGGGATCAATTTTTAATGCAGATTACGAATATGCATTTACCTCAATGCCCTTAAAGAACCCAACTGTTAAGGCATTTTTTTTTCTTTGTGTGCAGTTGATGTTCTACGGTTTTGTAGTCATTTATGAAAAATTAGCATTTCTATAAGCTTTCAAAAACATAAGTTTAAAAATCTTAAAAATGTTTTGTTATTGAAGTTTTTAACATTTTTGAAAAAAATAAAAAAAATAATGTTTTCGGATTGTATTTAGTTTTAAAAAGCCAATCCAGTTTCTTACAACTTTGTCTCGGGCATTATTTCGATTAGATGAGTCATTTTCTTTCTATGATTTATTGAAAATATCGAATACACCATTTTAAAAATTAGGTGCGAGTTAAAATTGCTGAATCCCGGCACAAACTTGGTTCATTGCCCCGTGAACAACTGTGAACAATAAGGTGATCCAATAGACGTTTCGCAGTGGAACCATAGAGGTAACTCTAAGACCACTGGGTCCCGAAGAAAATCATTATTATTTTTGGCTCACTCAGTACCAGAACAACGGTCCCAAGCAGTCCCAAGCTATTTCACTCACCCCTGCATGTTCTGCATGAATCCATACACCCCTGATGTTATCTGTCAAACTTTCATAGCGAATCAAAACAAACATAGTGTAGTAATAGAATTTCAACTAGAATAGGGTACGTTAATCGTTTGCTTGGGACCAATAGGCTACTAAAGTGGTGAGCCAATTTAAAATCGTTAGTTTCGTATTGATTGTTGGTGGAACTGACAGCTAGAAATCAAGAGTGTGTGACTTATCTGGTGTTAATGGTGCTGAATGTAAACATAAACAAAGCAGAAATTCATATTAGGATGAACTGTCAGTTCTACTGTGATCTGTCAAAAGTTCTTGTTAAACAAAAAAGTCAGCTGATCGCAACTGTCTCGTGGACAGCCTTATTGTTTGGAAGTTTCATGAAATTTGGAGAGGGAAAAATGGGAAAAATAACATCAATTCATCAGTTGGCGTGAACTGGGCCCGAGCAGGGGCCTCATTGCGGAAGACGAAACGAAGCATATTGTGCTTGTACGAAAAAGTATGTCATTTCGACTTGCAAAATGAGGCCCGCCTGATAACATTTTTATGATTATTTTGCTTAACGACGTGTGTCATCCAACTCATTTGTGGACCTTTACCTGACCTATAACGAATATACGTTGTATACGAGTACCCCGAATACAACGTATGACTCGTCTAATTTTGCATAGCATTTGCAATGTAAAATTAGACGAACTATACGTTGTATTCGGGGTACTCGTATACAACGTATATTCTTTATAAATCAGGTGACACAGTAGCATTTGGGTTAGATCGTTCGAGTATGATATTTTTAATTAGGGCCTGCTCTTTTGTTTATTAAATTATTGATTTTTGCTGTGCACTCTGATGATCCTGCAGTTAAAATAATTTTCCTACACCCTGTAGTGTACCCGCTGCTGACCACTGACCACTAATCTTTTTGACAGCTTTTCAAGACTAGTTCAATCTCGGTGTAAAAATGGAGACTTGGTGGTAAACAAGACGGATTTTTCCTAAATTTTTAGTAATTTTCTTAGCAAATCACGCTCTAAAGCGTGCCAAAACCGTAGGATTAAGGCTGTTCTAGCATATAGTTCAATTTTACAATCGTGTCTCCAGAGCGTGTGGGTTTGTGAGAATGAAATCGCTGGAAGCAATTCACAGTTTCCTTGTTTTGGTAGTGCTGTTAGGATTAGACAATGGTGAGTCACTTTCGCTTTAATATTCCTGCTGTGCCATTTGTGAATAATGCACCAATGCGTACTTCCAGCCCATTGCCAAAGAATTAAGGACAATATGTACACCCCGATCAGCGGGGCGCACTGCTTCCGGCGGTTAAACGGGACACACGTCACCGGTTGTAGCTCTAAGCTGGGCGGATCAGTGGGCGTATTGCACTTCATCCGATCGGAGGCGGATATCGATTTCGTGGTGCGACAGCATCCTGCCCCACCTTATGCACCGGTCATTACGCCGCATCTGTTCACGAGGGAAAATATTCTACGGCTACGAGACCAGGGTGGACGGCACGTGTCTGCATTGGTGCTGATAAACAATGCAACCGTGTTGCAACAGTTCAGTCAGGAGTCACGGTGCCCCAATCAGTTCAGTGGGCTAATCAGTGGTGAAGGGCAAGATACTTGCAGCACAGAACGCGAGGAAGGCACCTGGAATCCATGGGGAACGGGATTGCTGTTGGAAGACTTCCCATTTCCCATTTACTACGTGGCCGATCCGGATGAGATCGATAAGTTGTACGATTGCTTTGAGAAGTTCAACAACTACGATTTGGAGAATCAGCACAAGAGGAGTCTGTGCAGCATTGAGGTGAACGCTTTCATGTCTGCGGCAGTAGATACGAGGGTTTGCTTGTCTAGGTCGACACTTTTCAATTCGCTGACGCCGGTCAAGTTTTGTGATCCGCTGCAGGGCAAGAACGTATTTGCTACGCTGTTTCCCCGTGTTCTCGTCAAGCCCGAGGAGCGAAAAGTGGATCCAAGCGAGAGAATAATCCTGGTGTCAACCCGGATGGATACGACGACGATGTTCGATGGGATCGGTCTGGGGGCTATGGATTCCCTGTTGCCGTTTACAGTTCTGGTTTCCGTTGCACATTTCTTGGCAAAGGTCCTGCCGGAGAGAGTGAAATCCTCCGACCCCAATGTACTGTTCATGTTCTTCAATGGGGAATCGTACGATTACATCGGATCGCAACGATTCGTGTACGATTTACAGAAAGGAGCTTTCCCTACCAAGGGTAGCCTTACGAATCCTATATCGATGGAAAATATTGACCTGATGATCGATCTTGGCACGATGGATGACCTCAATAAGCTTCGGATCTATAACGCGTCCGATATATCAGCAGTGTCTGAAATAGCACAGATGATTAAACGAATCAATCTTTCATTCCGATTCAACATCCAAGCGGAAGGTCCTATTTTGACGAAAAACTTACCTCCGGTGTCATCGCACTCATTTCTGCGGGAGAATGCTTCATTCCCGTCGATAGTGCTCACATCGGCACCAGAAAATCGATTCTATCATTCAATCTACGATGATACGGAAAATCTCAAGTACATTTATGGCAATCATTCGAAGGAAAACGATTTCACCCAACTGGAAGATCTGTCCGAAGAAAATGTTCTATTTGGCCAGGACTCTATCCAGTTAAGGCTGCGAAATGTTTCTTCCCTTCTGGGAATGGTCATTTATGAGCTGATTACGGGTTCGCCGTACGCTCCTCGCTTCGGGACCAATAGCGTGCTGATTGATGAATTTCTGTACTGCTTCCTGCTGTCTGCCGATTGCCCATTGTTCCAAGCCGCCATTAAGCCCGACTTCCCAAAAGCATATCCCGTGCCTCCGGTACGCTACATCAGTGTTCACTCTACTCTCCCTTCTGAGGCATCCGGTTGGACCCATCGTCTGTTGGGCCTGCTGGTCGGCCAGAAAGTGGACAAGAACACCAAAGCCGAATGCCAGGCTCTGCACTTCCCATACAACTGGTATGCGGGCTATTCGGGCCTAGGAGAGTGCCGTTGGACTACACAGAATTTCACCCATGCCCTTTCGCCGGCATTCCTGGACGATGATTACGATTTCAAATCGCACCGTTACTCAACGTGGACGGAATCCACCTGGCGAGAGATGTCAGCCCGCATCTTCCTGCGACCCTCGGCATCGCACGAAACGCTAACCCTCTCCATTGGGTTCGTCGTAATGGTTATCTCGTTCGTACTGGTGTTTCTCATCAACAGTCGATCAGACGTTTTGTTCAACCAGAGTTCGTCGACCATACCGTAAGTACCGTAACTAATTTAACCGTATTACCTGTGTCCTCAATTTCTTACTGGTTCCAGAATAACGCCACCAACACAGTGCTAATTGCTATAAAGCAATAGTTTGCCGACTGATGTCTGAGATTGTCGCTTCATCAATTCCCCGTTCACTTTACCCACTCACCCCTTAAACCGTCCCATCATCTCAGGCCTACATTCTACATACTCATTCAAATTGGATATCTCACCCTGAAGCATTGCTTAACATTATACATTTTACTGCTTACTAATTTTTATTCCAAACATCAAATCATGGATAGTGTGTAAGATTTAAAAGTGAGAGATAAATTATTGACCAAATCACACTGCACACGTGCTCATTGTAGAATCGAAAAAAGAAAGCCCCTTTATCGGCTAGTAGTATTAAACTGCTCGAAGTATGCCATAGTTGGTCGATTCTGATAGACTTCTCGATCCAAAAAGGCCAGCTTGCGTTGCTGTTCGTCCGAAAGCTGCGAATTCTCCCGCCGGATCTGTTCAGCCAGCTTCTGGCGCCGTCGATTCAGTTCCCGATCCTTTAGTACAACCGTGTTGTCGAAATCATTTGCCAGTTGGTCCCATGCTTCCTTGTGGTTTTGCTCTGCCTGCCGACGACGTTCCAGCTCTTCCTTTTGCTGAAGCTGTCCGACTCTAATTTGCTCCAGTTCTTCCGGACCCATTCCCTTGTATGCGTATGGTATAATTCTGTTAGGGCCCAAGCTGCTCGCTGCAACCTCCGGATTTTCCGTGAGAATATCGCTTGTCAGGTGGTTGTAGATCTCAGCCAGATTGTCTTCTTCTTCCTCGCGTTTCTTCTGCTGCCGGTCGTATTCTTGCTGTTGCATGAGATGTCGATTGAACTGGTCGACATTCCCCTGGATCCTATGCCGTGTGGTGCGTTCCTCAGCAGCCAACTGGCGGACCCTCTGTTCTCGAGCCTCCAGTGTTTCCTCCAGAAATTTCTCCGCAGCCACGCGGTCCATCTCGGCCTGACGCTTGTCTCGGATCTGCTGCTCGAGCCAGGAACGTTGCTGCTGCATCTGGATTCTTTTACGATCCTTCTCCGTCAAATCTTCGCCATCGAACTTTTGTGCACCGGACACGGTCAAACGTGGATCATCGTCTCCAAGCCTCGCGGGAAGGGTCTTTTTCAGCCCATTTGGGTCGAACAAGTCAAAGTCCCGGGATTGCTCCGGCCGTTGGTGCAGCGATCGAAAGTGATTGACATCATTTTCCAGCTGGTGACGGAGCAGTTGCTGCTCTCGGTTCTTCTGCTGAACGAGCTGATTCTGGCGACGTTGCTCCTCTTCGAACTTTCGCTTGCGTTCAAGCTCCTCCTGTTCTATCTCGTGCTTTTCCTTCAACTGATGATCCAATGCTGCAGTGTCAATCTAGAAATGTCGGTACATTCATAGTCACATCGTGCTGGGGCGAATCGATACTCACCCCGATAACCCGACGGCGTGCGTTAAAAATTCGCTGCCTGCGGGATTCCTCGTACTGGCGTCGGCGTTCGATAGCGGCCGCCTCCTTCAAGTCCTGGTGTTTGATGTAAAGCGAATTTAACATTCTGTGACGTAGTGGTCCCCAGTGCCGCAGTGCAAAATCGTGTGGAAAAATCTTCAAACTATTCAACCACCAACCGTCCTGTCGTAATGACCGAAAATAACCCTACGCATAAACGACGCCACCTTGCCATGGCAACCAAATTTATGTACCCATCGGAGGTCGATCCACGTTGCTGGGTTTCATTCGCGGGAGGCTCGTTTCGCGCATGGCATTAAGTGCGCGGGAATAGCACGCGGTGCGATATTGCCCGTTTGAAAAATTCCATAAAGCAGGGTGCCCATCCACTGGGGGTTTAGAAAGAAAAATCCGCAGAATGGCAACTGAACATTTTAAAATTTCTGGTTTTTCCCCGATTTTCTTGTGGACAATAATTTTAAAAAAAAGTCCCGTTTTAATAAATATTCGAAAATTTGTTATAGGGGAAATGGATGTCATATCGGCCTACCTCACAAAAAGGGGGACAAATGTAATGTTGCCAACTACCGGGGAATTACTTCGTTGAGTGCCTGCTCTAAACTTTTTGAGATTATCGTTAAATATATTCTCTTTGAGGCTAGCAAGAACTACATATCCTGTTCTCAGCATGGATTCTTCCCGAAACGATCCGTCACTACAAATCACACACAGTTTACTTCACTCTGCATACGCTCGATGGACGCTGTTATAACCCGTTCACATTACAGCGTATATCACGTGATATACACTGTCTTGCAATGAGCACTTATACATCTAGTTTTCACTGGAAATCCTATGTATGAGTGCTCATTGCAAGACAGCCTATATTACGTGATATAGGTTGTAATGTGAACGGGGTATTACGCACGTAGATGCCGTGTACACACATTTCAAAGCTGCATTCGACCGAGTGAACTATGATATCCTACTTGGAAAACTTGAGAAACTTCGACTTTCCTCCGACCTAGTAAACTGGTTTAGATCGTACCTGATTGGAAGGTCTGTGAAAGTAAGGATCGGCTCTTCATATTCAGATGGCGTACCGCAAGGAAGTAATCTAGGCCCGCTTCTGTTCTCGTTATTCATAAATGATGTTTCATTTGTTCTGCCACGCGGACAGCAAATATTCTATGCAGATGACGTTAAGATATTTATGGTAATCACTTGTATTGAAGACAGCTTGGAGCTGCAACGGTTATTGGATTTGTTTGAGGACTGGAGCAAGCGTAATCATCTTGATTTGTGTATAGCCAAATGCAACACGATCTCATTTTGTAGAAAGCGTCAACCGTTATATTTCAACTACAAGCTATCTGAACACCGAACGCATTGATCAGGCGAGGGATCAGGTGAGGGAGCTTGGTGTGATATTGGACCGGGAACTCACTTTCCGACCGCATTGTGAAGATGTGTTAGCAAAAACCAATAAGCAGCTCGGGTTCATCTTTAAGCTTACTGATGGATTTCGCGATCCTCTGCCTGAAGTCCCTCTACTGTGCCCTAGTACGCTCAATTTTGGAATCTGCCGAAGTAGTATGGTGTCCATACAATAGAAAATGGATCGATTGCTTTGAGGCTGTACAGAGAAAGTTTGTGCGCTTAGCCCTCCGACACTTACCCTGGCACGACGCACTGAATCTTCCTGCATATGAACATCGCTGTATGCTGTTGGGAATTGATACCATGGAACCAAGAAGATCGACTATGCAAGCTGTATTCGGGGCTAAGGTGTTGACCAACGATATTTACGCCCCAGATATTCTCGCTGAATTGAATATATATGTTCCAGAAAGATCTTTGAGACTACGTAATTTCTTGCATTTAGCTAACCGTCACACTCGTTTGACGGATTTGACTTCAATAGTTCTGCCACCACTCTGCAACACTAACTTAATAATAATCAACGATATTGAATCGAACAATAATGCAATTGGTGAGTATCTGTCCAATAATTAACTAGGAAAATGAAAGTGCTACCTGTTTTTTTTTGTTTCATGATTCGCCATCATCTACACGACATTGGTTCCTGCCATCTGACGAGTGACCTGTTTGCATTTGCCAACTAAAAATTGTTTTATTTATTGATTCTTTTTAAGAACTTATTTATGTTTTATTTATAATCTGTATACCAAATAATGCCTTGAAAACGTTAATGTGTACTGTTTTGTGAAAAGATATGGGGTTTTTACGCCTTTTTGAGTCAAATGTGCTATCTCATGCCATCCCATATTTCATTGAGACTTGAAGTCAGATGGAATTATATAGAATAAATAAATAAATGCCTATACATCGACTAAATTTTCAATGGCGACTAAAAATATCCATTAGTACCGTCTCAATGACGCGTTCATCTAGATAAAATTGATAAATAGCAGATTTTTAGCGATGGGCCCTGTTGGCGCGTTTACCGTGGCCAACTCCGGTGGGTTGGAATTGGACTGTATTTCGTTCGGATTGAAAGATTCAACACACTAATCAAATTATCACCTTAACACTACTTTTATTCTAACTAGTTCACTATTTCTCTACAGATTGCTTTCTTACTTCACTGGATGTAACTTGGATGGTGGTCGGAATAATACTAAAAAACGGTGTTAGTTTATTTTTAGTTTAAATGATCTTTATTTTAGTTTAACTTGGACGATTACCATATAAATTTTTACTAAGTGATTTAATTGCTTTCTTCATCTTTAGGTATGGGCAAAATTTAAAATTTTTTTTACAGGATTAGTCCTAGACTTAGTACACGGTCGACCACCTTGGTGGGATTGGTTTGTTTTGTTTTTAGAATTTGAAGAGAAACTACTTAATACTACTATTTACAGCTTAAAACTAACTTACTCTACTATATACACTTAACCTACTATGTACAAATTGCTTATTAAAGCATGTTCAGAAAGATTGCATTTTTGAATAAATTTAGTTGTCATATCATCAATTTTGGAATCTACTTTGGGAATTTCTGCCTCTTGATGGAGGTCTGCTATTCTTGTGTCGAATGGACGATCTAGGATCATCCTCAACACTCTATTCTGTGCAACCTGGATTTTGTTCCTGTGGGTCTGAGCGCACGATTCCCACACCGGGGCGGCATATAAGATCGCGGGGGCTATGATCTGTTTGTAAACAGCCAGTTTGTTTTGCCTTGAGAGGCGGGATCTGCGGCAAATGAGCGGATACAAACACCTAACCAAGGCGGAGCACTTAACTAGGGTTTTCTCTATGTGCGAGCGGAACAGGAGCTTCTCATCGAACAACATCCCGAGATAAGTAACATCAGTGGACCACTCGACCCTTGTACCATCCATTATTACGGTACAGGAGGGAGACGGTTTAAGTTTTGGTGATTGTCTGTGAAGGAACATGATCGCTTGGGTTTTCGAGGCGTTGATTTTGATTTTCCACGAGGTGGCATAATCAGTAAAGGTGTCAAGGCATCGTTGCAGCTTGTTCGTAATTTCACGAGGCATCCTACCCTTGACGGCTATCGCGGTGTCATCTGCGAACAGAAAGAACACGCAACCGTCTCCTAGAGGAGGGATGTCCGACGTGTAGATGCTGTAAAGCAGTGGTCCCAGCAGACTCCCTTGCGGAACACCTGCTGGGATCGGAAATTGTCCCGAAAGGGAACTATTCAACGACACCCTGAACGACCTTTGCTGGAGATAGTTACGGGTGATTTTCACAAGGTATGGTGGAAAGTTGGAGTTACAAAGCTTGTATATAAGTCCGTCGTGCCAGACATTGTCAAACGCCTTTTCGACGTCTAACAAGGCCATGGCTGTGGACTTGGATACAGCTTTGTTACTTCGGATGTTATTCATCACCCGCACTAGCTGATGATTGGTGGAATGCCCCTTGCGGAACCCGAACTGTTCCGGAAGAAGAATGTCATGTTCCTCCACAAACTTGTTTAGTCGGCTGAGGATCAATTTTTCGAACAGCTTGCTCAGCGCTGAGAGCAGGCTAATCGGTCTGTAGCTTGACGGTAGTGAAGGGTCTTTCCCAGGTTTGCGGATCGGGATGATTTTTGCCACCTTCCAGATGCTTGGAAAGTAGTGCAGCTCCAAGCATCTGTTGCTAAAAAACGGTGGCTGGCTGTGTCGCTTTTATAGCAGTCGTCCTATCGTATTTTGCTACTTTTGGTCCTATATACTTGCCTGCCGTGCGCTACGGCGAGCAGCAGGCAGCAGCATGTTGAAGAGAAGTATATAGTGCTTCTCCCTTCTCGTTCGGTGTCCTTAAAATTCTACCTGGAGTGCGTTGTTGCCACGATGGGTGGTTTGAATGACGATCGTTTGCGTTGTGTTTTGGAAGCTACTATAGCTTGTTTCGCACGGAACATACTCCGCCCGGTTGACTCGTAGATTCAACATCACTCAGGGTTGGTGGCTCGTTGTCCTCAATCGGCAAAACTGCGATCCGGTTGATCGGTCGTCGGTAGGTAGCTCCGTTAGACGACACATCGATGGCTCGGACCAATCCATCTGGCCCTGGGAATACCTGCATGATGCGGCCTAGCTTCCAGTTAAGCGGTGGTTGATTTTTGTCCTCCAGTAGAACTACCATTCCTGGGCGAAGGTTGGATGTCGTCTTGGTATTCTTTGACCTCGGTTGAAGGCTGCACAAATAATCTCTGGACCAAGATTTCCAAAAATCCTCACGCATCTTCTGTAGATGTTGCCATCTTTTCAGACGATTAATTTGGATGTCTTCAAGGGATGGTTCCGGAACGGCTGTAAGTGGTCTACCAATCAAGTAATGAGCTGGCGTAATTACCTCTATGTCGGCTGGATCGGAGGAAATCGAAAACAGTGGCCTAGAGTTGAGAACTGCTTCGATTTCGGTGAGTATGGTTGTTAGCTCTTCAAATGACAATTTGGAATAGCCAACCACTCTGACCAAATGTCTCTTTGTCGATTTTACAGCGGCCTCCCACAAGCCACCGAACTCGGGTGCGTTCGGCGGTATGAAATGCCACTCGATCTCTTTTGGCTGACAGAAGGACTGGATACGTCCTGTGAACTGCTGATCCTGGAACTGTTGATATAGCTGGTGCAACTCGTGTTGTGCTCCTCGGAAGTTGGTGGCATTGTCAGAATGCAACTGTTGCACCATTCCTCTTCGGCTGATGAACCGTTGTAGCGCAGCTAAGAAGGCGTCGGATGTGAGATCAGACACGACCTCGAGATGCACTGCTTTTGTTACCATGCAAACAAATACTGCCACGTAAGCCTTGATGAGCCTGGATCGGTAATTTCCCATCTTGATCCAAAATGGGCCGGCGTAGTCGACACCAGTCACTGCAAACGGAGGTGCTGGATTTATCCTCGGTTGAGGAAGATTGCCCATCAGCTGCGTTGACATATTTGGATTTGTGCGGAAACATCTTACACAATTGCGGGTCACTTGCCGGATGGTTGAACGGGCGCTCAGCAACCAATACCTCTGGCGCATAGCAGCAATCAGGCCATTTTGCCCAAGGTGCAAATGCTCGATGTGCATTGTGCGGATTAGCTGCTTCGTAAGTGGATGTCTGTTCGGAAGGATAATCGGATTCTTCGTCTCGGCTCGTAGATTCGAATGTTGCAGGCGACCACCAACTCGAAGCAATCCATCGACGAACACTGGATTCAAGCCTCCTAGCTTGCGGCACGGTTTGTTGGTTTGGACACGACGTATTTCGTCAGCTAGCTCTGACTGTTGAACCATCCTCATAATGGTGAAATTCGATCGACGGAGTTCGGAAATAGTAACGTACCGGTTGAAGATACGTTGTGACCTGTTCTTGGTGCGGATGTTGGCGATGAATCGAAGTACCAATGCCATGATGCGTTCGATCTTCCTGAAGTCACTGAAGCGGGAAAACAGTGGAAACTGTTCCACCACAGCCGAAGTGACAATTTCGGTGCTTGTCATTTCGGGAAGCTGTTGGTCGGGGATATCGACTAACTCCTCTTGGTCGTACTCGAGTTTCGTGAGGAAACTTGGTCCGGTCCACCAAAGATTGTTTCTGCGCAAATCGTTTGGTAGCTGACCTCTGGACACGATGTCTGCTGGATTATCACCAGATCGGATGTAGCACCAGCGATATCCTGCAGTGGAGGTATTGATTTCGTGAATTCGGTTTCGGACAAAAATCTTGAGGCGATCGGCTGATCGTTTCATCCACGCCAGAACGATTTGACTGTCCGACCAGAGGACCACGTCACGGAATTCCATTTGCATGGCTGGGATAATCCTCTGAATGAGTCGAGTTAGTAGCAATGCGGCACACAATTCCTTTCGAGGCGTTGAAAGGTCATGTAGCAGAGCAACCTTGGACTTGCTACTCAGCAACTTCATCTTGGCGGAACCGTTGGAGAACAGGCTTCGAACATAAACACATGCACCATACGCCAATGATGATGCGTCGGCAAAACCGTGGATTTCGTAGGACACGGCGTCGTGGAACGTAACTCTTCTTGGTATGGCGATTTTGTCGAGTGCTGGCAAGGTATTTGCAAATTCAACCCATCGCTCCTGTATCGAGTCGTTGACGGGCTCATCCCAGCCAATCTTGTGCTTCCACAGCTGTTGCACTAGTAGCTTGGCGACGACAATCACTGGTGACACAAGTCCTAACGGGTCAAAGAGCTTGGCCACCTCGGAGTAGATGATACGCTTCGTTGATCGTTGATTCAAATCACATTGTGGCGGCCTTGCGATGAGGAAATGATCGGCTTTTGGATCCCAAAGCAAGCCTAGCACTTTGATGACTCCATTCGGTCCGTATTCTCCCAATGGAACGGGCTGTTCCAGTCGATCGTTTGGAATGTGGTCCAAAAACTCTTTTGAGTTGGAACACCACTTGTGCAGCGAAAACCCTCCTCTCTTCAGTAAGCCTTCCAGCTGCCTTGCTGCTTCTAGGGCCTCCGGAAGTGAATTTGCACCGGAAAGTGCATCGTCGACGTAAAAATCCTCCTTGGCGATTTGCGCACCGATCGGAAAATCGGTTGATTCATCATCGGCGAGCTGCTGCAAGCACCTGGTAGCTTGGAACGGAGCCGATGCTGTTCCATATGTAACCGTCGTGAGCTCCAAGACTCGGAGTGGCTCTGACGGCTGCTCACACCAAAAAACACGGAGATAGTGTGTGTCCCTTGGATGCATCTTGATTTGTCGATACATCTTCGGCACGTTCTGTACCACTGCACCGACTTGTAGAACCTCATTGAGTGAACGGTTGTTCACTGTTGGTTTGGCGCTGGCATCAAATACCACCCTGCACTTGGTGGTCGAACTTGATGGGCGAAGTACCGCATGGTGCGGCAGGTAGTAGTTTTGCTGGTGCGGTGGATCGTCTTCTTCTCGTACTTCGTGGCAGTGTCCCAGCTCTTCATACTCACGCATGAACTGAACATACTCCTCTTTCAAATCGGGGTTCCGCTGCAGCCTCCTCTGCAGCATCTGGAATCGCTTCAAAGCAACCGCTCGGCAGTCACTAAGCTCGTGCACGTTATCCTTGAACGGTAGCCTCACTTGGTATCGTCCATTTTCATCACGCTGGTGGGTGGCGACGAAATGGGCTTCACACTCCTGTTCTTCCTTCGTCAGAGGACTCGAATCTGGCACCTCTTCGAGCCTCCAAAATCGTTGAATGGATTCCTCGATGTCATCCAACGATACGATGAGCGAATGTTGTGGTTGATTGGCGTGGATCGTGTTAGTGAATACACCGCCTAAAACCCATCCAAGGCAGGTTTCACGGAGATCGGGAAGGCTGTCGTCGAGTTTGATATGTCCTGGTCGCATCAACTTGAAGAATAACTCTGCACCAAGAAGCATATCGATCTTGTCCGGTTTGTAGAATTCCGGATCGGCTAGTTGGACGCCGAAGGGAATGTTCCAAGATGACACGTCGATTCTTGTTGGCGGGATGACACCTGTCACATTGGGCGTAACCAAACACTCCACGTGTGCTTGGAAGTCGGTGAGTCGAGATCGGATGTTGACCATTACCTTGTCGTGGGCTACAGTCCTGACGTCGTTGATGCCACAGATTGGAACGTTGACACGATGCTTCTGAATTCTTAAAAGATTTGCAAAATTGTTTGTTACGAAATTTACCTGAGAGCCGCTATCTAGCAGTACTCGGCATGAATGCAGTTGATTGTTTTCGTCCAGCACGTTGACAACCGCTGTCAGCAGGAACACAGTTTTCGTGGAATCGGCGTAGTTACACGAGCAGGATGTGCTCGGTATATCTCTTCCGGATGGCGGGTTTGCTACCGTGCTGTTCGGTTGAACTGTGCGGGACTCTTCTTTCGAAACGGACACGTTGGCTTTCGGTTCTCGGTTTACCTCGTCGTTGTGGAGTTGTGTATGATGCCGTTTCTGACACTTTTGGCAGCACCTCGGTGATGAACACTCCTTGGAGCTGTGCCCCTTGCGCAGACAGTTGAAACACACACCAGTTGTGCGTACCTTCTCCATACGTTTGTCAAAGGACATGTTACCAAGCGCATTGCATTGGTAGTTGCGATGTGCACCTTGGCAGAAATCACAAACCTCCTTGCTGATTGGTGTGGTTGCGGCGGCATGGACCTTCGGGTTGCTTGCTTTCGGTTGGAATGCTTGTACCTTCGGGGTCGATTTGGAAGCGGGCTGCGCATTAACCTTCTGGAAAGCTGTTTCGCAGTTCTCCAATATTTCACATCTCGATTGCAGGAACGTAATGGTTTGCGCATACTTGGGTAGCACGCCCTTCTTCTGTGTGCCTTCCCATGCCATCCTGGTCGTGTTGTCCATGGCGGTCGTCAGCATATGAACCAGAAACAAATCGGAAATACCGAGGAATTCCTGTTCAAGATACTTCAGGCTCTCGACGTGGCGGGTGCACTCATCGAGCAGACGTCGCACCTCCTTGTGGGATCCGGATGACATTCCTTGCAAGTTGAACAGACCACGAACGTGCGTCTCGACTATGATCCTTTTGTTTTCATAGCGATCGGTAAGAATGGTCCACGCTTGCTGGTAATTACCTTCGCTGATTACTTTGGCATCCAGAGCACCTGTTGCTGCACCAACCAGAGCCTTGTCCAGATGATACAGCTTGATCGCGTTCGAGTCTCCTGAGTTGGCCATCAAGTCTTGGAATATGGCCTTGAACTTCGGCCAGTTGGCATAATCACCATCGAAGGTTGGAATTGGAGCCTTCAACGGTTGCTGTTGGACGATGATTTGTTGTTGCGGGGCTTGAGAACGAACACTGGCATTTTCGTGTGCCATGATTAGCTCATCGATGGTCGTGCGGACGAAGTTGTATCGGTCTTCAAATGCGACATAAACTTCCTCCTGCTGTTGAAAACTTTCTTGGGGAATGATAGCAACCAGTTTGCTATGCACTGCGCTGTATTCGTTGTAGGCCACATCGATATTCTTCATGTACGTCCTGAGTTGTGAGATGCTCACCAAGTTTCGAGCGGCAACAAGCGCCCTTTGCACACGCACTACTTTCATGGTGACCTGGTCTCGCTGGCGGGAAAGCGACGTTATTTCCTTCACGGTTTCGGAATCAGCACTGATTTCCCATTCTGCAAATCCTTCGAATATTGCTGACTCGTCGTGCTGCTTCTCCTTGCCTGTGCCCTCAACTGCTTCCTTAGCAGCAGGCTTACCTTTCGGGGTTCGATCCACTGGCATAATGAACTCGTTGTCACGTCGTACGTTACACACAGCACGAGCACGTATGGTTTCGGAATAGCGGTTCTGTAGAAAAATCCTTCGGCGGGCGGGTTGAAACTTGCGAATCGGATTCGCAAGCGGCGGTGATCAATAATTGATTCCTCTCCTGGCGGTACACGTTGTGGTTGGCACACCACGGAAGCGTGTCGGAATACACTCGGTCGAGTGGCGATGGTGTTGAATCCTTTCCTACGGGCGGCGCTGGATCCGGCTCGAAGGACCACTATGTTGGCGCGTTTACCGTGGCCAACTCCGGTGGGTTGGAATTGGACTGTATTTCGTTCGGATTGAAAGATTCAACACACTAATCAAATTATCACCTTAACACTACTTTTATTCTAACTAGTTCACTATTTCTCTACAGATTGCTTTCTTACTTCACTGGATGTAACTTGGATGGTGGTCGGAATAATACTCAAAAAAACGCTGGCTGGCTGTGTCGCTTTTATAGCAGTCGTCCTATCGTATTTTGCTACTTTTGGTCCTATATACTTGCCTGTCGTGCGCTACGGCGAGCAGCAGGCAGCAGCATGTTGAAGAGAAGTATATAGTGCTTCTCCCTTCTCGTTCGGTGTCCTTAAAATTCTACCTGGAGTGCGTTGTTGCCACGATGGGTGGTTTGAATGACGATCGTTTGCGTTGTGTTTTGGAAGCTACTATAGCTTCTTTCGCACGGAACAGGCCCAATCTTAGATTCATAGGCCAACATTAGAGCCATTTCCCATAATAAATATTAATTATAATTTATTTGGAAATAATTATTGCATTCAAAGTGTGTTTTGTTACTTCATATGAAAGTTTACGAGTTGTTCAGAGTAGGTTGGACATGCTGCACTAATATCAACATGAAGCTTTAGTGAGATGATTTATTAACAAGAGAGAATTCTGAATAGGATAGCCTGATAGTTCCGCTACAATACGGCAGTGTGAAAATTGAATAGAAGTTTAAATTGAGCGAAGGGCCATTAATGCGACAGTACTAGTCAAATGGACACTCCTTTACCTAACCCAAAGACTGCGGATATGTTTCCTGTTCATAAAAAGGGAAGCAAACGCGACGTAAACGACTACCGGGGAATCACGTCGCTGAGTGCTGTATCGAAACTTTTTGAATTGGTTGTCATAGAGTCCCTAAATGGGCATTGCAAGCAATATCTAAGTATAGACCAACACGGATTCATAACTGGGCGTTCCACAACTATGGACCTGCTGGGCTTAACGTCTTAAATCACAGTCAGTTTGATTGCTCGGACCCAAACGAACGTTATTTACACAGATCTTACGGCAGCCTTCGATAAGCTGAATCACGAAATTGCGATCGCTAAGCTTGATAGGCTAGGGATTGGTGGAAATCTTTTGAGATGGTTTCGTTCATACCTTACGGAGCGCCAACTGACAGTAACTTTGGGTACTTGTCGCCCAGCAAGTTTCTGCGCAAAGACCGGTATTTTTTTTTTAATTTTAATTATAGACACTTTACATCTAATGGTGCATTCATGTCTCGAAATAAGTAATTACAATGTATTGTACAAATTTGTATCTTTACTTACTTACTTATCCTGGTCCGACATCCCTCAGGATTGTACCAGCATCACAATGTGGCTGCTTGTCTTGTCCAATTTCTTGACCGTCACACACTTCCAAGATCCTGCTCCACTTGGCCTAACCACCTTGCTCGTTGTGCTCCTCTTCGTCTCGTACCGGCCGGAATCGAGGCAAACATCATTTTTGCGGGATTGTTGTCCGGATACAGAGTTCGCCATAGAGTTGCGCCAGCTCGCCTCCATACACCGTTCTCACATACCCCGCCAAAGATGGTCCTAAGCACTCGTCGTTCGAAAACACCCAGTGCTTGCAGGTCCTCCTCGAGCATCGTCCACGTCTCGTGTCTGTAGAGAACTACCGGTCTTATCAGCGTCTTGTACATAGTACATTTAGTACGGAGGTGAAGTTTACCCGAACTCAGGATCTTGTGGAGTCCGTAGTAAGCACGACTTCCGGCAATAATACGCTGACGAATTTCTCTGCTGCAGTTGTTATCCGACGTTACCAATGATCCGAGGTACACAAATTCATCCACCACCTCGAACTCATCTAGCGGGATAGGGCTCGCTTCTGTCTATGCGAGCCCTATCCCGCTCGGTTCCTCCAGCTAACAAATACTTTGTCTTCGACGTATTCACCTTTAATCCAACCTTCTCTGCTTCACGTTTCAGGCTGGTGTACTGCTCCGCCACGGCCTGAAACGTTCTTCCGACAATGTCCAGTTATTGAAGATCGTGCCCCGCATGTTAAAGCCCACACGTTTCATAACACCTTCTAGCGCAATGTTGAACAGGAGGCAGGAAAGACCATCGCCTTGTCGAAGTCCTTTGCGAGTTTCAAACGAGTTCGATAACGCACCCGATATCTTCACGCAGCACTGTACACCATCCATCGTAGCCCTGATCAGTCTGGTCAGCTTCCCGGAAAAACCGTTCTCGTCCATAATCTTCCATAGCTCTTCACGGTCAATAGTATCATAAGCGACCTTGAAATCGATGAATACGTGGTGCGTAGGGACTTGATATTCACGACACTTTTGGAGGATCTGCCGCAATGTAAAGATTTGGTCCATTGTCGATCGCCCGTCAACAAACCCGGCTTGATAACTTCCCACAAATCTGCTTGCTAGCGGCGATAAACGGCGAAAGATGATCTGGGAAAGCACTTTGTAGGTCGCGTGAAGAACAGTGATCGCTCGATAGTTCTCATATTCTAGTTTGGCGCCTTTTTTATATACTGGGCAAGTTACTCCCTCTTTCCACTCCTCCGGTAGCTGTTCTGTATCCCAGATCCTGACTATCAGTCGGTGCAGACAAGTGGCCAACTTATCCGGGCCCATTTTGTTCCGCTCCGATACCATCTTTCCCAGCTGCTTTGTTGTTCTTAAGCTGTCGGATAGCATCCTTAACTTCACCTATCGTGGTAGCTGGCATGTCCCTCTCATCCTCTGTACCGACGAAGCCATTTCTCCTGCCGCCTAGGTCCTCCGCCTCTGCGCCGTTCAGATGTTCATCGTAGTGCTGCTTCCACCTTTCAATCACCTCACGTTCGTCCGTTAAGATATCCCCTTCCTTATTCCGACACATTTCGGCTCGCGGCACAAAACCTTGGCGGGATGCGTTGAGTTTCTTGTAGAACTTGCGTGTTTCTTGAGAACGATACAGCTGCTCCATTTCTTCGCACTCCAGCTCTTCCAGGTGGCGCTTCTTATCCCGGAAAAGATGGGTTTGCTGTCTTCGCTTCTGTTTATATCGCTCCACATTATGACGGGTTCCTTGCTGCCCGCGCTGCGTTCTTCTCGTCCAAAACCGTCTGACACTCTTCGTCGAACCAATCGTTCCGTCGATTCCGCATCACGAACGTTGCTCCAGCAGTCCTCAAGAGGGGCTTCGGTGAGCCCTCCCTCATCCGGCAACGCAGCTTCAGTCGCTCCTCCTCGTTACGAAGTACTGTTTGCAGACAAGAACGGTCAATGTTGTATTTTGCATGAGCATCATGATATTTCCTGCAGTCCAGAAAAATATGACGAACGTTGATGACGGTGCCGCAGCATTCACATACGGGTGGGTCTGTTCTTTTGATCAGGCACTCGTGGGTAAGTCCGGTATGTCCGATCCTTAACCGGGTTAAGATCCGTTGGTCTACTGGATTGTTGGTGTCATTCCATGGATTAGTTTTATCTCACGGAGCTTAACATCCCGTGATGTATGCCAAAGATGGTCCCATCGTCGTCGTATAGCACGTTCAGTGTTGGCAAAATCAGAAATCAATTGATATTTTTCCGCTCTCATGAGCTCGCAATATCACGCGTGATATTGGAACAAAATATCATGCTTGATATTGATTTAACAAGCTCCTTTGATATTGCGAGACTATTCACAACGTGCAAAAATCAAGCTGAGAGTTGACTCGACACAAAAATGATTCCGTTGCACATCGTTTACTTAGAAAGAGAAAGTACAGTATGCTATCTCTTTTCATTCTTCACCGATTCGGGTGTAAAGCAAAATTTATGAAACTCAATCTCACCACAGTTTGCTGAGATTTGCAGCTGGCGAGTTTTGTTAGCTTGATATTTCGAGCTGTGATACCACAGCTTGCAAAATCAACCGCAGTTGTTTGCTTGTTGATTTTTGTCCACGAAAATCAAGCGTGATCTTGGGAGTTGGTGAGATTTAATTTTTTGATATTTTTCCAACACTGAGCACGTTTGACTTCCCTTATCGCGTCCATGGCTGGTATTTGGATATCAAGTGGAACGTTGTTTCTAGCTTCACCAGCAAGACGGTCTGCTATAATATTTCGCTGGATACCTGAATGGCCGGGGATCCAGCAGAATCGGACGTTTTTGGATTGGATTGCCGCCTCGATACTTTGGATCCATGGGTGTTTGGATCTACCCGTCTCCAGCGCAGATAAACAGCTGACAGAGACCGTTAGAATGGTTATTTGTGTCTTGCGTGAAGTGTTGAGTGCTAGGTTGAGGGCGTAGCCTTCTGCTGAGAAGACACTGCAACATCTTGGCAGGACGTCGGATTTGGTGACGCCTATTCCGAACCAGCCTGCGCCGACTGTAGTCGCTCGATTACCTTTTGTACTATAGGACGGACTTTTTCGGGGGGGTCCCCAGGCCTAGTAAACTTTTTGACATCCCAGATGATCGTTGGTTTTGGAACATTCCATTCGCGGTCTGTTTTCCTATGACGTTGGCAGATTTGGGGGATAGTTGCATTGGTTTCTTCGGTGAAAAGCTCTGCTGTTCTTTGTACGACTGGAAGCTCGGAAGCATCGCTAGTTTTCTCCAGAAGGCGAATAGAAAGTCGAACGGTAACACGCCAGCCTCGGCCATGATAGCGAGCGTGGGGCTGGTGACGAAAACTCCGGATGCGAGTCTGACCATCCGGTTGTAGGTTGAGGATAGTATTTTAACCATGTATCCTCCTCTGCTGACTAGACCTGTTGCGAACGCGACATTTGCTAATCAAGCAACATCATTAACTATCAAGGAAAGATCAGAGTATGAAAATAATTGTATTTCAGACAAACCATGTTTCCTCGTAAAGTAAAAACAGGTATAAGGATAACGTTTTGCAAAGAAAGTGGAACGAAATATTACAAGACTAGTTGTTTTATTTAGGTCTATGTCTGCCGCGCTCAGGTATAGCTTAGAATAGAGTTGTAGGATATGCACTGCACGATAGATAAGCGCATGCCAGAAGGGCGTATAGGAACACGTTCAAATTTATATTTTTTAACCTGAATTTGAAAGCGTTGCGAGGTGGAAGTTTGTTACGTAAATTAGGAGAGAATGAAGGTGATAAATGTAGGAAGGAATCTAGTTTTCTTTTTAATGTTGTCCCATTTTCACCTACACATTAGATTAGGGAATTTTTCTACTCGAGGATCATTTTTAGAATAGAATTTCGTTATATAAGGGAAAAGAATTGTAGAATAAAGTTAGTTCATAAGTGATACTCAATGCGGCTGTATCGTTGTTTTCATCCGAAAACTCCTTGGTAAGTTTCTAGTTCAAGAAAAACTGATTCCCAAAGTAGAATAGGCTCTCACAATCATTAGAGTACTGGCTCTTGGGCATAAAATCTCAAAGGCATTTCTTAGCTAAAAACTATATTTTCAATTGATTGAGACTCTCTCCACTCAATAAGTATAGGCTCTCACCCTGGTTAGAGCAACTAGCTTTGAGTCCTGCGGGAATTTCAATAAAATTGAAAATAGCAAGGTTTCCAACTTGCAGTTGGTCGAGTACTCCTTCGCCCGACAAATAAAATAAATTGTTAGCAGCGATAGCGTTCCTTCGCACGTGTAAATCGATCGCGTCGTTAACAAGACCCATTCCGTAGAGGAGGCGTGACGTAATGATCGCAGATCCTACATGTAGCAGTGAACGACGTGCTCCTCGAGGTAACTTTGCTCCAACCATTGTCAGGATTCGTAGTTGCGTGGCGCAGTTTTTAGCAGTCAGGGTGTTTGATGTTGTTGGTTGTGTGTTGTGTTGTTTTCGTTTGCTGCTTGTTATGTCTCCGCTGGTGAAGCCAAGAAAAGGAGGAGAGTTATCGCTGGAGGTTTCCATGAGAGTTTTCAGGAACACTGTAGTGATACTGGGGTAGTGAAATCTGCTAGACTCTGCTCGACCGGTGTTGAAGAAGTCAGGTCAGGATCAAGTCTTCGACCGAAGTGTGAAAATCCGCCGATATTAATTATGGGCAAATCACCCACGACGCAGCTTACCAATGTCCAACTTACCCGTGCAGCAGCTTGAATCCAAATGACCTTTCGCCAACTGTCAGGAAATGTGTATGAAAGATCATGACCTACCTAGTTATTGTCCATCTCATATCTTCCCTCTCCTTCGGTATAAAAGTTATAAAAGTACAACATTCATTCCTCTTGCTTTAACGATGATAAAATTGGTAAGCGCGAGATCGTCGGCCGCTGCTGGAACTGTTAGCCAGTATACGCTGACCGTTGCCAACCATTAAGTTCAACTCCCTCACGAGAAAGAGAAGGGAGAGTGATGGCAGAAGCTGTCCATCCAGGACAAGAAATTCTTTACCGTGTCTACCCGGACAATGCTACAACCTAGAAATCAAGAAGGATTCGACCTAAAATTCCCACTGGCGATAGTAGAAGCAGCAATAGACCTTCAGTTACTTCCTAGTGTTAGCCTTAACTTTTGGGTACTGAATTCATCTATGTTTGCTAAACATGTTTGGGAGAGTCAATCGACTGCATCCATGGTTTTGAACTTTTGAACAGCCTAATAAATAAACAGCAGATCCTCCTGGAAATCACTGAGATTGTTCAATAACAACACAAAAATAAATAGTGCTGCTCTTCTTCATTCTCATGGCTCTCAACTATTTACTTTTAATCCGTTCATCCTCATCGTCCATCAAATAATGTCCAGCAGCATGCAAATGCGTATCTAGGATCTAGATACCGGTTGTCAACGTTTGATTACTACCTTCTCTTTGCATTTAGAGATTTGGAATATTCCGAGCAGGTTGGGGTGTGGTGCACGTTACGATTGCAGTGTCTACCCCGGTAGGTGACGAGAGTCATCACAGCATCGACAGTTATGTACGATGGGATCGGTTTGATGAGTTTCATCCGGAGTATACGGACGCCATTTGGAACGCCGGGGAAAAAGTCCTTCCAGACTTCTTCGCGGACCGAACAGATTTGTCCGAACTCTTTCATCCTTTGCACCAGTTGTTGCTTAGTGATTCTTGGTCGGAGGTCATGGATCCTAACCTCAATAGTACCGTCCTCCATGGATAGTGGAATGGTATAGAGCTTTCCGTCGTGTTCCAGCTGGTGCTTCATGTTGTAGTTTTGTTGGACCATGTTTTGTGCTATTTCTGGTGATTCGGTTCCCACGTAGACGCGCCCGTTGGTGATTTGCAGATGTTTGATCTGGGTCAGTGCAAAGTTCAATTTTTGGACGATGAAGGTAGATATTTCGGCGTATTTGAGCTTTCTCGGTACAGCTTTAACGCTGATAACGAATGTTCGGTCGACCGTATAGGTCATTGCGCGTGCATCCAAAACAAAAGCTGTCAAAAGACTTGCAAAGTCCAGTATACCTCAGGGTAGCCATCTGGGACCATTGGTATTTCTTCTTTACTTCGACGACGTTCACCATGTTATCACAGGGCCACGATTACCGTTTGTAGACGACCTGAAAGTTTTTTGCGCATCCGCTCACTCGCCGACTGACTCTCTCCAAAATCAGATTGACATCTTTGCTGACTGGTGTAGTCTAAGCCGACTGGTGGTCAACCCAGCTAAGTGTACAATCATTACTTTCTCACGCAAGAAACAACCGATTATTTTCAACTACAAACTACTAGGCACGACTATCGAACGGGTGCATTGCGTGAGAGACTTAGGCGTTTTTTTCTAGACTCAAAGCTGACATACTCACACCATATATCGTATGTCGTCGACAAAGCATCCAGAACTCTTGGCTTTGTCTTCAAGATTACTAAGACCTTCACATACATTTACTGCTTGAAATCGCTCTATTGCTCTCTCGTACGATCTACGTTGGAATACTGTTCTGCAGTCTGGAGCCCGAACTACAATATACGATGTTTTCTTCGCTTCGCGTTCCGTAAGCTGTTTTGGAGATCCCCACTTCGTCTTACAAGCTACGAGAATAGAGGCTTATTGCTCAATGTCGAGCCCTTACGTATCCGAAGAGATGTTTTCAGAGCCTTAAGGTGATACTCTAAGGAAGCCTTAGCGTGAAACTTCAAAGGCACAAATGTCAGCTTCCACAAAACATACAAATTTGAAATTGCTACTTCTTGTTTGCTGTGCTACTACAAACAGAGAGTACCAATTTCTTAATTGTATATTTTGTAGAAGCTGACATTTGTGCCTTTGAAGTTTCACGCCGATACTCTGCAAGGAAGAATCGACAGCGAAGCAATTCTGCAACAATTCTCATAGCAGGCGTTGACGATGGGACGTTGTCGAGTTGTTGAATAGCAACTATCGTGGTAACTCACCGATTACCTGTCGATCTGCCAAATTTGGAAAGACGTCTGCATTGAATTGTCTCATATAATAATATTCCGCCCACTATATCACAAGAAATTGCGAGTAGCTGAGTGGAATGGAGATAAGTTAAGCATTGGGTACAGGACCAAGTCTCCCCTGGGTGGTGCCAGAAGATGAGCGCAATAGAATCATCAAGTTGCCATAAGGCACGGAATGAGACTATTGCATTGCTGGCTAGTCAAAGTCCTCCATTCGTTACTCATTTCAGGTGGATTAGAACAGGTTTAGGTTTAGGGTAGGCGTTGGCGGATATAATCCTAAATAGGACCTAGACTATTTAATACACTAGTAACCTCAACCTCTGTCACAATGTTTCATTGTGATTAATCAATTAATAAAATATCAAATTTGCGGTAAATTTCGAGAAATTTGAAAAAAAGGGAACTTGCAGTGTAGAGCGCACTGCCCACTGGACGATTCTGAAGCCTGGCCAAGTGAGTAGGTTACGGGTTTATTTGATTGTACGTCATTTTCAAGTTATATATAGATACATTCATACCATTGGCATTTTGTATTTGAGATAAGACAGAGATAGGATGCAGAGGGCCCGCTTAGGGGGAGCGTAACCTATGTTATGGTTTCCATTTATTAAATAGTTCAAATAGGCTGGAAATGATAGGTTCATGGTGAAAAAATGTACCATATGGTGCCCGTTCACTGATCAAAATTAGATTCAAATCGTCAGGCCCTGCCCTGGAATAAGGGGATTGACGATGATTTGTCAAGTTTCATTTTGCATTTGCATATAATTGTAAGTTTAGGTTTGCTTTTGTAATTGTAAGATAGATAGTTTGCCTCAATTGAAACATTGAGTTAAACATGACGAATCATAACTCTAAAATAGTAGTAGTTACAGTGCCGCATGATCTAACAACCACTGCCTGCAACTAATGTTGGAGGGGCCGGCAGGGCTGATTACGGATCAAAACTAACATAACTCTAACACTGAAATGATCCCGAAACTAACGCTCATGCATTGCACTTTGAGTCATAAAGTAGTTTTATTTATTTTCCTACTAATCTATCTACACACTTAGTTTTTTTCTACCGAGCTCGGTTGTGCGGGTCTCGGCGGGGAGGGTTTCGCTGATATCTCGGCGGGAGTGACATTTGATTGCTGAGTCTCGGATAATGCCTTTTCTAATAATCTGCCTACGTTTCTTTTCTTTGTTATCTACTTTATCACCTTTTTTATTTTCTGCTCTTCTTTCCTCTTCTCTTCTTTTGTTTGTTTACATATAACTAATACTAATACCTCCTTGTTTTCTCTCTAATTTGTCTACTATGTCCCACCATCACGATGAGAGATGAGCGACCGTACATGGTACTCGCTCATATACACTCCCAAAATAGTATGCCGCAAGTAAGTATATCACAGAGGCAACTAAAGATCCAGAAACAAAAACCGATGGCGCCGAAGATAATGAGGTAACTACTACACTGTATTGTAATTTGTACAATAATACTCACACTACTTATTATTAATTATATACTTTATTATATATTTATATTTAGCTGTGGTGATTAATATGACTATATAGTATTATTTATTTATACTAACTTAAACACAACGTGGGGTGACCCAAATCCAAACGATCACTAACCAAAATAATAGACTTATCTTTTTCAGCAGGTGTAATTTCGTTTAGTTCTGTTTCTCTCTTTTCAGCAAAACAACAACAAAAAATCTCTATAACTCTTCTCCATTCTTTTAATCTCCTACTATCCCCTATAAATGTATCGGAAACTAGGTCGTTATGCTATACGGTCGAAGAAGGTCGTTATGCTATACGGTCTAGCATAGGCCTACGGCCAGGTTTCAGTAGGTGCACATTCGCTTAACGGCAGATTGGTTTACAGTGGTTGACCAGGGTGTGTGCTGATAAATTACAAATTACAATTACAATATTAATGAATGAGAGGACTTGACGTATTGGAAGCAGATTTTTCCAAGAGGTCGTGATTTGTCCGAAATTACTATCTAACAGCAACGGATGTAGTGAGGAACAACAGTTACGATGTTGTGCAACTGTTGTCCTAGGGTTTTTTTTTTAAATATTAAGGCACTGCTAGCTTCTAGCACATCTTCAGCGAATAATTAAATTTCGGGACGGATTTCTCAATGAATAACGCAACAATCTTATTTATCGCTGTACAATGTCTATTGAATCAATAGATCGGAAACTCCGAATCGATATGGTGTGTCCATGCGTGCAATCCACCGGAAATGTCCCGCGGTGGTTCCAAGCCCTGATCCTGAAACAGTGGCACCAAATGACGCACCGCTAGCTGCGAATCGTTACCCCGACGACACACCACAAAAACGGGCACGCTACCGGAAGCCGCCATCTGAGCCAACTCCGAGGTTCGTCGGTCCTTTAGAATGTCATCGATGGGAATGTTGATCGACGTCGGAAGCTGGCAAATTTCGAACTGATTCGCACCGCGAACGTCTATCAGCAGGTGGCGCACGTTGTTATCCGCCAGCTCTTTGTACTCTTGCACCGAAATGCGTTCATGTGGTGCCAGCAATTTCAAATGCGAGTCCTTATCGGTGGCCTTCATGCTGCAAAACTGTTCGTAATCGATCAATTTGGTGAGCGAGGCATTATCCGAGCATACGACACAGTCTGCTTTTTTCGATCGAAGCTTTAAATTTCGGAACGTGCTCTGATGACCATCGAAGAGTAACAGGCGCCCGGAAAGTACTCCCGTGTTGCCGAGAATGATTTTGATGGTTTCTAAAGCTTGCAGGGCTCCGATGACTCCGGTGATTGCGCCAAGGACTCCGCCATCGCCGCAGTTGGTAACCGTTTCCGGTGGCGGTGGATTTGGAAATAGACAACGATAACAGGGACCACTGTTGAAGTTGTAAACCGTCAGCTGTCCTTCCAGCTGTAAGGCACTGCCAGAAACCAGGGGTTTCTTTAGAAGGACGCAAGCATCGTTCAGCAGATATCTGGTGGCCACATTATCGGTGGCATCAACGACGATGTCGTACGCACCGATGATCTCCAGAGCATTGTCGCTCATCAGCTGAGTGTGATGTGTAGTGACCTCGATCTGCGAGTTCAGTTCTTCCAGGTAGGCCTGCACCGAGTCCACTTTCGTCAGCCCCACGGTCGATTCCGTGTGCAACAGCTGCCGGTGAAGGTTGGTCAGCTCGACGGCATCGTAGTCCAGGATTCCTATCCGACCGATTCCCGCCCCGGCTAGGTAGAGAGACGATGGACATCCCAACCCACCGGCACCGACCACCAACACGGATGCTCTCTTCAGCTTCAGCTGACCCTGGACGCCGATTTCGGACAGAATGATCTGACGGCTGTAGCGGGCGATTTCATTGTTGTTCAGCTTGTTGATGCAGTTCTGGAAAGGTGGAAATTCGATTCGTTGAGTAGGGCATTTATATTGTAATTGTAATTTATTTAGTTTACGATACCCTGCTGGTTGTTCCTTTTATTAGGTCAAGAAGATATAGGCAGGATGATCAGTGAACCGGAAAATCGAGAAAAATCCGTGAATCTCTATGACAAATCGGAAACAATATACTTCATCCTCTATTAAAATAAAAATATTTTAGACCTTACAAAAATTTCAAGACCCTTGAACTGGACTAGATTTTTAGCATACAGTCACTCTGAAGGACTATTAAGAAAATTAAAAAAATACAAATCAATTTCGAGCAGATTTTTGAATGAATTCCAGAAATAACATAAAGGTATTTCAGAGAAGTCCCAGGGAGTTTTGGGATGAACTCAAAGAGAGTCATTTGCGTGAGTTCATAGTATTGTTCTAAGTAGATCCGTGTTAAATTTCATGGTGATTCTGAAGAGAATTCCAGGATCCGCGAAAAATTCCAGCGGATTAGAATGTTGAGGGTACAATTCCATAGCATTTAGTAAAGAGTTTTATGGAAATTGCGAGGATAATTTCAAGAGTTTCTCGGAATGAAAATTGGAATTGTTCATTTTAAGGACATCAACATGTGAATTTACAGAGTAATTTAGAGGAGACATCCAAGCGAATTTTAAGAAGATAATTCGTAGAAAAATTGCATGGAAATTCTAAGAAGACATTGCGAATCTAAAAAAAAAACTATGAAGCTTAAGTGAAATCTTAGAAAAAAAAAATAAAATTTGAAGATTTGAGTGTTCTGCAGAAAATTGCTGGACTGTAATAAAAAAAATCACCAGAGTGAATCTCAAAGAAAAATTCTGAAAAGAATCCGGTGAAGGGAAATGATTTTAAAAGAACAGAGTCAAGATTTTAGCGAATTTTCATAGACAATTTAGAAGACTTTGAACGCAGAACCAAATTAAAGATCCAGGAGAAAATCTGCTTTCTTAGTAATGATTCATTTAACCTTCCTAATGCATTTTTAAATTTACACAGTGTTTCCAGGTCAAAAATTACCCCAATGCATTAGGAAGTTTTACCAAGCGATGGGTTTTATGAGGGTTAAAATCCAGGGAAAAAACCTTGAAATTGCTAATCGGGATTTGTTGGTCACCATGTAGTACCTCTATGCAATGTTCTGTATTTTTACCATCAGCTGTTACAGAAACTGAGCAGGCATTTGCGATTTCGACACCTCGATTTAGGATTACAGAACACATCTCCATTTGACCTTGGCCCGCGCACACCACAGACGACAGCGCCACAGAGAGTTGAATGCGCTTGCGAAACTGATTTTGCAACTCACTACCGCAGGCCTCAGACAACCGTTTCCAGCTGGTGGTGGTGCCCGCTTGCATCTGTATGTGATTGGCTACTTACTTTCTGAAAATGTTTTTTCAAGGTCTTCAGCTGTTGAACCTTCGCTTTGAGCTGCTTTCGCAACGTTCGGATGTCGCTTTCCAGCTCCTCGATCTGCATTTCACCGTCCATATTGTAGCTCACACCCTTTTTCCACCAGTCAATTCGGAAGCATTTCTTTTGCAGAACAATCGTGCTGTAATTTGATGAGCCAGAAATGATCAAAATTATTAAATGTAGTCGAAAATGGAGCTCCGATATTCGCGCACCTCCAGCAATCTTCGAAGAGACTCAGATGATTTTGAAATGTTTTGGATTCGAGCGAGACGATGTGGGACACTGAAAGAAAAGCTATCCGTTTTTGGCTTCAGCGAAGGAAAAAGTGTTAACCCAGCTGAATCCCACTTGACGTCGAGTGACATTTCTCGACGTCAAAACATAAAAAAAAATCCGATTCGCATGCTTGCGGCATCCGAATTATTGTTACCTAAACAGTGAAGAAAATTGCATTTTTCCCGGCTCGGTTCCGCTATTGGAAACAAGCAAAATGTTCACCCTCAGTAACGTGATGCTGACGCGGCTAGGGATGCCTTCCGTGCTGCTGGGAAACGCGCGGCTGCTGCAAACTTCCGTCGTCGATTTGGCCGCCCGAAAGGGCACCCGTGAGAAGGCACGCAAGGCCAAAGTCAAGAAAGTGGTGGAAAAAGTCGGATTCATTCGGCACGACATGAGAAACAAGGGGAAGTAAGTAGCAAGGACTGAACTTACAATTCTACCAACTGCTCTATATCATTCTTCACCACTCTTGCTTGCAGGCTCAATCTGAATCAAACCAACAAGCACATTGACGACAGCTGGAAGCAGGATCCCACCGATAACTGCTGGGTCAGTAAGTACTACAAATGGAGGGTGTACACGGTGGAGGAGGCAATCCAGTGCCACCGGGAAACCCATCACCCGACTATGATCAATCTACCAAATGCGCCTCTGCACGCTCACGTTGAGCTCAACATGCAGGGGGAGAAAATCACACGCTTTGTCGAGAACTTCCAACGGATGGTTGCAATTCCGCACAAGTTCGAGCATGGTGAAAACCGAAACATTATCGTCTTTGCCAAGGGTCAGCAGAATCTGAAGGAAGCGACCGATGCAGGAGCTACCCTTGTTGGAGGTGTTGAGTTGATCAAGGAAATCCAGAACGGTGATCTCCAGATAGCCGAGTATCCCTTCGTTCTCGCTCACCCAAACATCCTCCCGGATTTGGTTGTGATCCGAGGACTACTCAAGAAGAACAAGTTCCCCAACCCGCGACACGGAACGTTGGGAGACGAGCTGGCAGAAATGGTCAAAAAGTACTTGCATGGAATTCAGTACTCGGCTGAGAAGGATGAAAATCAAAAGGATTTCGGTCAGATCGTTGCCTGCGTTGGTTCGCTGCAGATGGATCCGAAAAAACTGGAAGAGAACTTGGCTACATTGCTGAAGGATGTGAACGCGATGAGACCCAAGCGGGAGGGACAATTCATTACCAGGGTACTGCTGAAAAGTCCTCCGTCGGGAGAAGCGCTCAAGATTGATCCGTTCCTGTATGTACCGGCGGAGGGCAAAGCTGCTGCCAAGAAGGGCAGTAAAGCCGCTGAGGAAGAAGCAGCCGAAGAATCCGATGGAGAAGACGAAAAACAACCGGCCGCTGCCAGTAATTGATAAGGTTAGTATGAAATGTTAGCAGGGAAAATATACGAAAAATATTGATGAAAACGCATCAGTCCTACGTAGCAGTGAAAGTCACATCCTTTTTATTAATCACCAATGAATATGAAGCAAAGCTACCAAGTACTTAACAGGATTTACTATAGATAGGTACATTAATAGTTGTCGGTACATTTAGGAAAGTACAAATCTGGAAAGTGTGCCCACCCACACATTTAAAAGCTGTCCAGCGAGGACAACAAGCACATCACATATCGTTCCCTTCAGACTAGAATATATATTCCATTTAACTCACTCTTGTTAAATCTCTCTCCCCGTGTCGCTGCACTTGATTACTTAACCACCGGCAGCAGTCCTTTGGCGTTCAAATTGAGAATCGAATCGGCAATTACCCGGGCCGAACTTCTAAGATAGCCTCCACTGAGAAGCATCACCAGTGGAACTGCCCTCTCGCGTGCCATTTCAAAAACGATCTCATCCCGTTCGATCACTCCCTCGGAAGTGATGTCCAAAATTCCCAGCGGATCTCCCTTCAGCACGTCAGTCCCTGCATTGTAGATGAGGAAATTTGGTCGGAATTCATCGAACGACCGAGTCAGATTGCTCCTCAACTTCTCCAGGTATTCTTTGTCTCCAACGTGCGGCTTGAGTTCCACGGCTCTCTTGATGGCCAGCTTAGCTTCATGATCTCTCGGGTAAATCCGGTAGTTGTACATGTCCATTATAAACACTCCACTGTCGTTCATCAAGTCCCTAGCATAGCCATTGCCCTGGTGTGCATCCAAGTCGACAATCATAATCCGCTCGATTCCTCTGCCGCTTGCCTGCAACATTCTGACGGTCAATGTAATGTCGGCGTAGGGACAAAAACCACCGCCACTATCAGCGCTACAGTGGTGGAATCCACCGCCCAGATTAATGGCCCATCCCGTCCCGGAAGAACCAGCCAGGGCACACTTAGCCGCCAATATCGACCCGAACGTTTGGTATCGCATCGGACGTAGATAGTTCCGTTGAACGAAATAATTTGGCACAAACACCAACGGTGGAATCTCCGCTATTTTGGCCACATTGACACTCCACTGAAATGGAACCAAATCATTATTTTCCCCCAGCAAAAATCCCACACATTACCTTCAAACTTTCAATATACCGTTTGGTGTGAACATCCAACAGTTCATCGATGCTGATCTCCCGGGGTTTGTGGACGTCAGCATCGCTGCCAATCAGATTACCTGCCTTCAGCAGTCGATAGATATTACCCCCCTTGGCAGCGTCGAACGGGTGTAGTCTCTGCAGCCCACAGAATCTCACCCCATATTCCGGTCGATACACGATAGGCAATTTGTCACTGCGTAGATTTTCGTTCAATTCATCGTCCGTCGTAGCTTGACGGTCTTCTTCGTCCTCGTCCTCCGTAGAACTCATCTTGGGGGCACGACCCAGCTTTAAACACATCCTCAGTGGACAAGAATTCTTTATGGACTTGATCCCATTTTTCACTTCAGATTAAATGATTGTTTTACGTTTTCCTTCAGCAGCATGCCAGAGCAGACCACTCGTCGCCAAAGCCAGTGAGATGAATGAAATTTGGTGCAGTTGGTGCTGACTGGCGCAATCAAAACATAACAAACAAAAAATTGTTTGATGCGAAATGACGTGCGAGGTGGGGAGGAGAATGGAAAATCAAGGTCAGTTGGGTGGTGGTCGTGGTCAGAGATGCTACACGGCCAATGAGACCAACCCAAATTTGAGTTCAGCTTACTCATAATCGCAAAAAGTACAGGAACTCGGCGATGAGTAAATTTGCCTCATGTTTTCCTGTGGAAAACCTCAAAAATCTGTCGGATAATGAGAAAAATTGACGCAAAATTTTACTCAGTCTAGGAGTAGTACCAATCTCGGTACCAGCAATCGAATCTTTACTTTTCTTATGTTGGGGTATTTTTTTCCTGGATTAACCTGGAAAACATGAGGCAAATTTACTCATCGCTGAGAGCAGCACCGGTGGTGTAGTGTTAAGGGTGATTACCTCTCACCCCAGCAGGCCTTGGTTCAATCCCACCCAGTTGGCGCCGCCGGGATGTTCTGAGGCATAACATCTCTGATCACGCCTTTCTTCGGAAGGGAAGTAAAGCCGTTGGTCCCCAGTTCATGAGTTGATGGGTCGATAGGTAGGGTCCAGGTGTGGGAGCTGCCTCCCTGGCGTCGGTAGCAATGCTCGATGAACATTTCAAATGGTCCTATCTGCTTTGATCGATTCTCTTCATCGACTTTCTCTTTCGTTAATAACTCAGCTGCAAAATCTTTCCCTGTTGTATTTGACATTTTGGACGCTATATAAGAACCTCCTTTATCAAACTATGTGGTAGAATTAGCGCGAAATCTGTTTGCATATCAGTGGTTATGAAAAGAGAAAGTCGATGAAGAGAATCGATCAAAGCAGATAGGACCATTTGAAATGCTCATCGAGAATGGTGCTCAACACGAAACCAAGATCGACGCCCGTAAAAAAAAGAACGATATAGATACAATGAAATGTATTGTAACAATACAATAGAATTTATTGTACTTAAAATAAATTTTATCGTCCACAACTATAACATAACCATAGAATTTATTGTTTGCACAATATAATCTATGGTAAATGGGGAAATAGAACAATAGAACAAGGGGGTTATTATGTATCTTAACCGTACAAAAAATCACTTTTTCCCGAACAAACTCAAGCCATTTACCATTCATTTTATTGTTTTTCTATTGTTGAAAATTCATACTATATGGGACGTATTGTACATCTAATGTAATACAATATGTTAAAATTTCTTGTCCAATATACGCACATTAAGATCGAGTGTTGGCAATAGATTTGGATGTAATTGTATTTTATTTTATGGTAATTGTATGGTTATTTTTTTCCGGGCGGAAAACAAATTAAGGGAAAAAATACTGCACTTTTTGCGATTTATGAGTAAACTGAACTCAAATTTGAGTTTAGTTCACTCATAATCTCCAAAAATGCAGGAGCTCAGCGGTGAGTAAATTTGCCTCATGGTTTCCTGTTGAAAATCTCAAACATCTGCCGGAACATGAGGGAATTGACAAAAAGTTTATTCAGTCTAGGAGTAGTACCAATAGACTGAGTGAACCCAATCTTTACTTTTCTCATATTCATCTGAGTACTGCGAACTCAGCCGATTTTATTTTTCAAGTGAGCTAGAAAACATCTTGAAAATCTTCCGAAGTTTCAATTTTTTTGCTGAAACAGCTCACAAAATTGTATATACATGCTGTCAAATGAACTCTTGGCTCCTCCTCCTCGGCTCCAGAAATAACGTATACATGGTGATGGTAGTGCACCTGCCCACAAAGCTCGCATGACTCTTATAAAGTTTGATTACATTCTTGTTTCAGCAACCCAGTTTTGGCATTATTAATATCAAATAAAAACAGTTTTTCGAGCATCACGCTCGATGATTTACATTATCCGCCTACTAAGGTTGATGTTTCGTAAGTTTCATAATTATAATTTTTAATTTGTTTTCAGTATGTGGCAACAATTTTACTTGTGGTTCAAACAGTAACTACCTACGTGACTTTTGAGCTCTTTTGAATGTTTGGCTCCCGTTTGACAGTTTGACTCGGCTCCCAGATGACAAGCATTTTGAGCAGGGGGCAGGGGGTAAGGCACTCTGCCACATTGTGCTAACACCCACAGAAACACACTTCAAACGCCCATGATAAGCAAATGTTTTAATCTTCCGGCACCACTGCAAATAATGTTTACATTCGATTGTTATTTTGTTTTGAAAAAAAAAAAGAAGAAAACTGTCGTACCATCCTGCCGGGAAAGAGAAACATTCTTGGTTTGATTTGAAAACCTCCCATCCGAAGAAAAGTTAATACGAACCCGGTTAGGATCCACGAAAGCAGCAGTTTCAGGAGTAGAGGTGAGCAAAACAGCTCATCTGGCTGAGTGGATCAAACCAATCCAGCTCACTAAAGGGAGTCGATTATTTTGAACAACTCTTCAGCTCACATTGAAATTATAGAAATTATGACACACACTCAAAACCGGAAAATTAATTAGTGGTTTTAGTGCTTAAAACTGCATAAAATCAATAAACCCGTACCTTACAACATTGCTCTACTTTTCAATGGAAAACGCCACTAACGCAACAACTGATCAAGCATCGCGTATTTCTGATTTTAATTCTTCAGAAAAATTGCTCTCACTATTCTTGGCTTCAGCTCCAGATTATCAGCTCAGAACCGGATCCGGAGATGAATCGTGAAGAATCGAGAAAGAGTAAAAAAGATCCGAAGAGCTGGACGGGTCCGAGAGTTGTCATCCTACACAGCTCCCAGTCGATCATTCGAGTCAATGATTCGGATCCGGAGCTGAGCTGATAAGCTGTAGAGCTGCATTTCGATTTTCGGTTATTTGCTTTTGTGCGAATCTTCCGCTCTCCCAGAGAATGATGGGAGAAGAGGTGAGAGCACATATGCTGGTAGGAACAGCGTTGCCAGTATTCCAGATTTATCTGGATTTTCCAGATTTTTAGTCGTCACAGACAGACCACGTATATTTCCAGATTTTTTAAATATGTTCCAGATTTTCCCAGATTTTTTAAACATTTTGCTTTTAAAATATCACTGCAATTGATTTAAACTCTAATAAAAAAAATAAAAATGCGAAACTTGCTACTTTAATTATTAAAGGCCATCAACGTTGGACATTATTGGAATTTTAAGGTAATTCTGAAAATAGTTCACAGTTAAGTGTGAGGCGAATTCTTTGTGAAATCAAAGGAGAATTTCAAGCTACTTCTGAGTAGAATTACATCCATCTTTGTGGGCTTCGGGGTCGTGCGGCGTCACCCATCATTTAGGCGTATTGTGAGTGCTATGAAGTGAGGGTTCGATTCCCGCTCCAGCCGGTGCAAATTTTGGTTTCCTGAAAATTTCCCTACTGGTCTAATGGGTGTGGTGTTCGTTGTCTAGTGTTAAATATTCAGTCTGTGCAACCTCTGGTTGAAGACGGTGTCAATTGTCTTGTTAACTCTGATGACAATTGAATGGAGATTTTGTCAATAAAGGAAATATAATCTGGAAGAGAAATCATAGAAAATTCTTATGATGAAACTTAAGGAGTATGTTAATACCAATCGTGAGAATAATTTCAAAGGAATTTTGTCCAATGTTTCTATGGAGATTAATTTTAATAAAATTTTAAGCGCAATTTCTGAGAGACTTTCAAAACCATTTTGGCAAAATACTTGAGTACTTAGGTAATACTGAAAAGGATTTCAAAACAATTCTGACCTTACCTACAAAGCAGTTCAAAGGGAATTATCGGTTAAGTCTGAGAAGAGTGTGACGGTCATTCTGAAGAGTGTACAAAGGCATTTGTTAAGAATATTTCAAGAGCAAATTTTCATTACGTCGAATGTAACAAAGGTAAACAAAGTCGAGCTATCAGTGTCAATCGATGCTCCTGCTATTACACTAATATACTGTCTGAATATAGGATCACATCCCATTTTTAAAATTATTTACCAGTCGAATTGCTTTTTGACGTAATCACCTTCCGATCAAAATAGTTTTCGATGTTACTTAAGTCACCCGATTTCTATGGAGATGCCGTTTGCCTTAAGTAACAGCACAGAGAAACCAGTGAAAAGTGTACGTTCGTCGTTTCGATTTCTCAGTATTAAAGTGAATAAATAGAACTGTTTGTTGCTTAGATGATTTCGGTGGTCCTAAAATGATGAATGGGCTGCACGTAAGGAGACGTAATTGATAATTCTCCCGAATATCCTGGTAAATACACTTTGACTTAAGTAACAATAGGGGCCACCAAACGACGTATAATATATTTTGACTCAAAAACCAGTATTTTTTAGCATGAAAGCTAGCGATTTGCATTTGTATGATTAAAACCCGGCTTAATATGTTAAACATTGCTATCACTATGAGATTATATGTGTTTAATTGGAAATAGGAATAACTTTTCGGTCATCAAAACAAAACTTTATTTTTCTCGGATCGGTGCGAATGTTACTTACGACATAATGAAAATTTGCTCTTGATTTTAAGAATTTCTTAGAGAAAAATGGACACAAAATTGAGCCAATTCTTGCCAGTTTGAGGGAGTTGTGGAATTAGAGAGTGATTTATAAGAGATTACAAGAGGTAATGCTAAGAACTCTTAGAATGTTACTGGAAAAGTTTAGATATTTTCAAGAATATTTTAAGGGAATATAGAAAAGAATTATGATGGAATTCTAGGATGATTCAAATTGAACTAAAAAAAGGCGAAGATATCCTGTGAAGAGTTCCAAGTAAATTAAGACTAACAAAGAAATTCATGATCTGGGACGCAGGAAAAATATTGTGCGCGCGTCTTGGTTTACGCAGTCCTTTTCTGAAAATCTCCGCTATGAGTGATGGATTGAATGGTTTAGACTTGGGATATCAGTGAGCTGATGAGCCGCGGTTCCTAAAAAATGAACCGCGGCTCATCAGCTCACTTGAGAGAATCGGGTCTATAGAACAGCTCGGGAGCGGATTGCCCATAGCTAATCAGGAGGAACAGTTGCTAAAAAATGTAAAGATGTCGTGCAAAAAACCAAGACATCCGCAACGGAACAGTTACTGATTGTCAATTCTATTTAGGTTCACGGCCCCACAAATTGATTGCCGCCCTGGCCTGGTGTTAGCACAATGTGCCAGAGTGCCTTACCCCTGCTTACCCCCTGGTTCTTATATAATTCCTTTTCCGAAAATATATGGAGAAAACAAGAATTTTGAATGGTGATGGTTCTTAACAACCCATTATTTGTAAGGTTCACTTCCAAAAAACCATAATACATAAGGTTAAAATTTTATCACACAAACTTTCACGTAAAGTTCCATAACCATTTCAGATAAAGTTTAGAATGGATTATAAACAATTTTATACCATTTTTGGTAAGGTCAAGTAATGGTTCGCATTTATGCATTTATTGGTGAATTTTCACTTAAATTTGACGCTTCGAAAATAAATTATAATGTTCGAAAATCCCTTTGTTGTTGCTCTAAGAGGAAGAGGTGACAATTGACTATAATTTCTATCGCTATCTTTATCTATGTCTATCTCTATCTTAAGGACATCAAATCAGCCAATCACGAAATGGTTCACATTTAACATTCAAAGTGGTTCATTTTTGCCCCTGTATTGTCACCTCTTCTCTTAGGCTGTGAACCATTTGCCAATTTAAATTTAACTCGTGGTTAAAAGTGAAATTTTGAAAGTTATTTTCTATGTTCGAAAATCCCTGTGCTGTCGATCGATCGGTTTTCGAGAAGAACTTAGCCAAGGTTGTCAAAATTTAACTTCTTATCTGTCAGAAGTAACCACGCTCGGATAGCAGGGTTAATCGATAACTTTCCATCTGTCAAATTTTAACCAAAAGTTAAAATAATCCACCAAATGGTTCAGAGCCTTAGTTGTTGCTCTTCTAGAAGGTGTTTGTCAAAATTGATTCCTAGTCTGTCAGAATTAAGTCTGGTAGGTTTATTTGAAAATTTTCCATCTGTCAAATTCAAGTGAAAATTCACCAAATGGAACACAGTCTGAGTCAAGTTGACTCACTCTCTCTTTTTTGTCCCATACCGTGGACACAACAACCAACACTCATCAAATTTCTTGAGCACCAGTCAGCAAAAATACCTAACATATTTTGGAGATCCCAGCAGTCTGACAGGCTTTTGATAATTTTGTAGATTTTCGTATCGTCTGCATAGAAAACGCGGCATCCTGATGGTATCAGCAAAGCGACGTCGTTTAAAAAGATCGAAAATAGTAGCGGTCCTAGGTTACTGCCTTGCGGGACTCCCGAGTTGTTTGAGAAAACATCCGATTCCGACGCGCCAATCTTGACATGTACATAGCGATTCACCAAGTAAGATCTGAACCAATCCACAGCAGTTGACGAGATGCCAAGTATCTCCAGCTTGGCCAGCAAGATATTATGGTCCACCGTGTCAAATGCAGCTTTTAGATCCATATACGCAGTATCGACTTGCCATCCTGAATCCATGCATCGCAGACAGTTAGAAGAGAACTGCACCAGGTTCGTGGACACGGAGCGCTTCGGGTAGAAACCGTGTTGTTCTGTATCGATATATTTTTTGCAGCGTGCGAACAGAGCACCATTTATGATAATCTTGAACAGTTTTGAGCAGGCACACAGGGAGGTGATTCCACGATAATTTATGACATTCCGTTTATCTCCTTTTTTGTGCACTGGCAACAGATAAGCGGCAGGGGAACTCACATTGCTGTGCCGAGAGATTGAATAGCCTCGCAAGTGGAAGGCAGAGAAGGAATAAGTGCACCGAAGACACCAATACGATTAGACGTACACACTTAATCTAGCTCGGTAAAACCTACAAAATCCGATTACCTCGGCATTTACTTTTGCTGATATCTCTGAAAAATATCTGGTTGTTAGCTGACATCTCAGCAAAATATTATTTGTTAGCTGAGTCTCGGCAATTGTTTTACTGAATCTCAGTAAAATAAATTGCAGAATTACTCGGCTGTTGGAATCTCGGCGAAAATATTTAAGTGTGTAAACTTGCAGTTTTATCACACTTTTTAATAAGTGAAAACGCGCTTATTAGTTTAATTTGGTGTGAAACGCGCAATACAAAGAAGTTTCTGATCAAAGCACAAAACTGACATCTACCGCCGTGTTCGTGGAAATTTTTTATCCTAGCCACAAACACGCGTACACAATTTATGAGTTAGTTCGTGTCTAATCTATTTCGGACAAATTATTTGTATCTAGAAAAAACATTTCTATGGTTTGCATTGGTTTGCACATTTGAATCCGCCGTTATGGATTCTCGATCAGAGTTAAGTTTAAGTGTCATGTCGGTTTAGAGCAACCGTACGGTTGCTATTTTGAATAAACGCCAAAAGTTTGTTTTGCCGGTGTGGAAAACGGTAACTTAAATTATGACTCTGATAGCAACGACCGGTGTGGAGTGTGTGCCAAAATGGAAACGCTGTGCGTAAGTAAAATAGTGCCGCAAATGGCAACGACTGGTACGGTTGCTCTTATCGGTGGTTTCCCGGTGTCCAACTTGACCGACAATAATTACGAAAATAATTATTTACCAAATCGAACACCGACTGATAACCCTATTTTTATTTGCAACTATTATTCCCCAAAGCTGGCAACACTTCCGCTCACGAACGCTCATTCGGTGATTGCGAATTCGTAACGCCGAGTAACGTCTTTCGTGCCCAAGCCAAAAAACGGCTGTTTTTTTGTTTCGTTTCTCAAGTTTTCCGGTTTTGTCTGTTTATTTCATCAATTTTCCGCTAATTTACGTAAAATTTGATATATTTTTTCCTTCGGCACCGGTCGCGGATGTATCCGGGAGTGAAATCGTGTTGAAGTTTTCAGTGTTCAAGTGGAATCGAAAGAATGGAATGGCAGTTTGTGATACCGCGGCGGCATTCGGAGCTGCTAAACTCGGATAAAAACAACTACTGCGTTGGACGCGTTCTCGACTCGCGGGAGATTCCGGACGCTCTGAAGAATGCCCGGTCGGCCATGAATGATCCCTTCAGTGTGTTTGATCACTTCGATACGTTCTTCTCGGTGATCGACAATGCACAACAGCTTTCGGGGACGAGTCTGCTGCGGGCGTTCGATTTGCTGTACATTGCAGTGGATCGGCTGGGCAAGAAGCTGGCCGATGATCTGGGGACAGCAGATCTGCCGAGGGAAGAGCGATTGCCGGCGTTGAATGCGGTTAAAATGTTAATCTATTTGATGGGTGGACTGGTGAAAGTGGTCGATGCCCATGTGAGCACGGCACGGGAAGGAATGGGACTGTTTAAGAAGGGAGGCGCGAAGAAGAAGGACAACGAAGAGTTGGAAACGCTGGACTGGGACAGAAAGCGGTATCGATGCGTGGTTCAGTTGTACAATTTGTTTCAACTCCCGCTGGAGCGTCTGTGGGATCCACCGGTGTGCGAGGAATCGTTTGTTGAGTAAGTCGGATTGTTTTGTAATGGATTAAAGTACTCACTAATTTCGTTTTGTTTTCCAAATGATAGTGTCGTCTGTGACATTTGTTATCGGACGTTGGAGCAGTCTTACGTGAAGAATCGTGAGCTGGTGGACAGTGTATTTCAGATTTTGGGCACCGCGATCAAACGGTACAATCATGCTTTGTCCTTCCCTGTGCGGACGATGCAAATTCTGGAGCAGTGTGAAGCCTCTATTGCTCCGATCGCTTCAGGAGTGATGCTGCTGTACGAGGAATTTGGAATAGCAACCATCTATCCCGTGCTGATTAAAGAGTTGATTGAGAGACTAGGGGCCGATGTTGCGGATGCCCAAGCAGCTCGTCATTTCAGTCAGTTTTTGCTGGAATTGGGAACTCTGGCGCCAAAATTGATCATTCCGCATCTATCGATGCTGAGCGATGAGTTGCTGGGTCTGGATGCGTACGTAGTCCGGAATTGTGTCCTGCAGATCATGGGAGAAGCCATCGTGTCCGAACTGACATCAGAGGATCTTACGGATGAGTTGAAAGAAACTCGAGACGAATTCTTGCAGGATCTGTTCAACCACATGATGGATGTTGCGGCACACGTAAGATCCAAGGTGCTGCAAGTTTGGCATCACATTGAGCGTAACAATGCCGTTCCGTTGAGCTGGCGGCATCAAATTCTGGAGAGGGCCGTCGAACGGTTGGAGGATAAGGCACTGCTGGTCCGGAAAAATGCCATCGCACTGATTAAAGCATTCCTGGAGCATAATCCGTTCTCTGCTAAGGTAGGTCAAAGATTTCGTTTCCCCCCGTCAGATCACGTGGTTAATTAACATCTTTATCCGTAGCTATCGCTAGCCGAGCTACGCACCCAGTACGAAGAGGCTGATAAGAAACTTCAGGAGATCCGCGACAAGATGGTCGAACAGGATACGGCCCTGAAGAAAACCGAGGAAGACTGGGAAGATCTAACCGTGCAGATGTATCCAATATTCTCCGAAGAACTCTCGCGGCAGAATTCTTCGGATGAAGCAACACAGTTAACCGGAACCGACGCCGATGTCGAATCGCTGGTCAAGGACATTGGAGACATCGTAGAGGGCCAAAGGTACAAGGAGCTGGTACACTTGGCTTGCAAGGTGGACTATGCCATTGGGAACACCGAAACCAGAAAGACACTCACCGTGGAGCAGCAGTGCATCTACTTTCTGGCGGTATTGAAGAACTATTACATCAACAATCGTCACGGTCCGAACTTGAACGAAGAGTTTCAGAAAATCGAAAATGAAGTAAATTTTCTGAAAGATTCTATTCGATTCTCGGAAATCGTTTCCGACGCGGTGCCGAAGCTACAGGAAATGTTGATGTCAAAATCCCAAACGGATGTCTACGAAGCGATTGACTTTTTTACGTCCGCCTATCTGTTTGGAATTAAGGGAACCGAGTGTGGCATGCAGCAAATGTTGTACTTGGTGTGGTCTTCGGATGCAGACAAGCGCAACAGCGTGACGGCCGCTTACAAAAGAGTGCTGCTGGAGGTAGACTTGGAGGGAAGAGCAAAGAACGTCAAGGTGGTGCAGAATTTGTGCCAGTTCATGGTCAAGCTGTCCATGGGTCACTACACGGCCATGGAAGTGCTGGTCAATGAATGGGTCGAGAGTGGGGATGTGGACGCTCAGATGATTCAGGTCATGTTTGAAATCTACACGAAAAAGTTGGAAAATGTAACGGATTCCGAATCTCGGCAAGCACTTCAATTGCTCATCATGGCATCGGCTGGAAAGCCCTCGGTCGTAACGGCGAATCAGGCGCTGATTGAAAGCATTGGGTTTGAGCAGCGGGGACGAAAGGATCCCCGAATCTTCACAGCCACCTTATCGCTGTTGATGAACTCGGTTGCAAAACCGAAAGACGGTTTAAAATACTACAAACGGTACGAAGCCGATTCGTCGATAGTGGGAAAAGTGACGGACATTTTCGTGAAACTATTTTTCAACAGTAAAATTGCCAATTTCGACAGCATCGGCAACAAGACGTTTGATTTCATCTACAAAATGGTAAGCACTCCGGACATAATTAGTCAGGACATCCTGGTCACCATCTACGAGAAGCTACATGTTATTGCAAATGAATTTCCTAGTGAACGGGAAAACCTTCACCTCTCTCAAGACTTGCAATCGCAAATCCCTGGAGCCACTCAGGAGGAAGTTAATCGTCAGTCGCAGGGTTCACAGAGCGGTCACAAAAACGTTATCACATTTCCAACGTTCCTGATTGCTCGTTTCATCCTCATGATCGGCTATGTTGCTATGCGGGAAATGATCTACCTAGACATCGACGTCTACAGTAACCTAAAGTACCGGCAGGAGCTGAAGGAAGAGATCAGAAATCGTAAAAAGAAGAACGCAGCCGTCAGCAAGACGACTCCCAAACGAAAGGCCATGATGAATGTATCGGCCAGTAATGCACTGAAACGTCTCTCCGGGACGACTGGCAAAGAGCAGGAACAACCCGAAGAGGAAGAACTTCTGAGTGGTGCCACGGCCGAGGACACCGTCGCCGAAGAGATCACCTACATTTGCGAAACGGAAATGCTCTATAACAAGGATTCGATGCTGGCCCGATTCATACCGACAATAATAGAGATTTGTAAGCACCCGAACCGTCACAAAGACGATTTCCTGCAGAAATCCAGCACCCTCACCCTGATTCGCCTTATGTCCGTTTCGTCCACCTTTTGCGAAAACAATATGCCCTTCCTGATGAACATCCTTCAACACACGAAAAACAACCAAATTAAATGCAACATCGTCATCGGTCTGTCCGATCTGACCTTCCGCTTTCCGAATGTGATCGAACCCTGGACCAGCCACATGTACGCAACGCTTCACGAGAAGAACGTCGAACTGCGCCTGAATGCCGTCAAAATGCTCTCTAATCTCATCCTGCACGAAATGATCCGCGTCAAGGGTCAAATCTCCGATCTGGCCATGTGCATCGTCGATGTGGAGAAAGAAATCCGAACCATCACCGAGCAGTTCTTCAAGGAAATTGCCAACAAATCCAACATTCTGTACAACGTCCTGCCGGATATCATTTCCCGGCTGAGCGACCCGGCGCTCGATTTGGAAGAATCCAAGTACCAAATCATCATGCAGTACATAATCGGGCTTATCAACAAGGACAAACAGATCGAATCATTGGTCGAGAAGCTGTGCCTGCGGTTCCGGGTAACGAGCGAACAGCGCCAGTGGCGGGACATTGCATTCTGCCTGTCACTGCTGTCGTACAACGAGAAGACCATCAAGAAACTGTCGGAGAACGTCGGATGCTTCAAGGACAAGGTGCAGTACGATGAGATCCATGCGTCGTTCAAAACCATCATCAGCAACACCAGCAAGTCGGCGAAACCGGAACTGAAGGTAAGTGGGATTGTAGTTAAGTATTGAACAACCGGAGGGATAGCTATGGCGACGACGGACGGACTCTGTACGGAAGGAAATTGATATGAACTCTGCGGTACGGAAATTACTAATTATGATAGGAAGATTAATAGCACAATTGGATTTAACGTATTTTAAAAAGTAATGAAAAAGTCCCAAAAGAGCGATATATTCCTGGAGTCTTTCATCTGACTCCGGGATAATATCATTCACTGGTGCAAATTTCAGAGTGGTATCTCTTACCGTTTTTGAGTATTGAAGAAAATTATAAAACAAACTTGAAAACGATAATTTTCATAACTTTTCTATTACTGGTCGTTAGTTTTTCGGTCATATATAAAAAAAACGGTAAAAACCAGTAAAAGATAAGAGGTATCATCAAAAAATCATTCCAAAATTTTGTTTCCTCATTGCACTACACTGGGACTACTGGGAGTAGAAAATAATCTTCACGGAGACGAAAAACTACCCAAAATTAAGTACTTTAACTCAAATCCCGGGTTCAGCTCAATAATTCAAATTTGAGTAAATCGCATATAGTAGTTTCCATTTAACACTAGCAAACAAAAAATACTTACTTAAGTACATTCTACACTAAATTAAGTTTAATTCACGTAAATGTGAGAGTATGCAATTTACTCAAAAGTAACTCATTTGACTGAACTATATCATTGGGTCGAATATTTCGTCCCTTTTTTGACAACAATAACGAGTTCAAGTGAGAGGCTCAACGCAAAATTAAGTAAAAAGAACTCAAATTTTGGGTAGTATTTTTTCTCCGTGTTGTGAAGGTTTCATCCGGAGTTCGTACAGCTCGTTGTAAGGACTGCCATTACATTTTTCATATGAAACATGTATGTATAGAGGATATAATAAATTCACAATCACATTTGATGTTCATGCCATTTATTTTGCGTGCATAAAATTCGGATCGATCGATTTCCCTAATGACGCCTCTGGTAAATAAAAATAACCAGTCAAGATAAAATATGGAATACTGTCAACACTGTGGTTGAGAATAAAACCGACTCATTCATCATTCGTGATTCTCACGTGCATGAGAAAATGTGTGCGTTACACAAGCTGAAAAAAAATAACGTTAAGTGCCGATCGGAGAAATGTGTGAGTGAGAAAGAAGCGTTATGTATTGACACTATGAAGAGAGCTTTCATTATTCTGTTGATTTGATTGTGTACGGCTTTGAACACAAGAAGAAGATGTAGGGTAGCGTGGCCGAGCGGTCTAAGGCGCTGGTTTAAGGCACCAGTCTCCTCGGAGGCGTGGGTTCGAATCCCACCGCTGCCAGGATTTTTTAGCCGCAGACCTGTTCCAAGATTTTTGAAGATTACTTATCTGGAGTCATTTTTGAGTAGGATGTAGGCCATATGTCGAGGAGTGAAAATTTTAATTTCTGTTTATTTACGCGGTGATGAGCACGGCGCTGATCTATTGTTAGGGTTTTGCGATGTGCATTGCTTTGTGCACGGAGTGTCTTGAAAAAGAAAAGTGATAGGTTTGGTTGTTGTGTGGTTGGAGTGGAGAGAAAAATATGCGTGAAAGCATCGGGAATGCGCTACCGGGTGAAGTGATTTGGTCAGTACGTTCCAGTTGAAGATTGTTGACAAGTGTATTTGTGGTGATGCAAATTATGGTTTAGATGACGCATGGCTTCAAACATTTTGTGTATCCAAATAAAACATATTACATACTAAATCAAGACCAACAATTGAAAAGGCCTTAACTTCATTTTGTAAATAAACCTTGTAAGGCCATTTTGTAGCGAACCGAAGTCCATCAACGCAAACCAACCGAATGAACAGGTAGCGAGAATTCTCCTCTACCAGATTGTGTTTTAGGTTTACGAATGCAGGTTTCGGTTCGCGAGAAAATGGCCTTACATGGTTTGTTTACAAAAAGGAGTTGAGGCCGTTTCAATTGTTGGCCATGAAATACGCACAGGGCATCGTCTGCTGACCTTTGCCGCGGGTATATCGTGGGAGTCCCAGGTACCCGGTTCAAGCTTTAGTTGGCGGCGGTGGCTCTTCTTGACCTTCTACCCCTGAGTAGTTAGTGTGAATAAGGGCGTCTATGTGATGTTTTGCTGTACCTGTTGTGGACATCTAGTGCATCATGTTCCCTTAACTTGTTGAGGACACCCTGTCTTGCCTCAAAAGTTACCCTTTTTGAAGTACTAGTCTTCACAACATAAAGGGCACCATTACGGAGCATGAGATTTGATCAAATTATTCGCAGTTCTACTTGTCCAACGCCCCCGGCTGGGTGAGGGATAGAGGATGACACACACACAGGGTGTAGGCCATATGTCGATTTTTTTCGCTTTCTACCGCGACCCGTGCGGTATTTTCGCAAAACTGATGCTGGCGAACGATGTACTCATCACATTCCATAAGGATAGGGAGTCTTAAAGAGAAATATATCACAACAAATTCTCACTATTTGGGGTAAGAGGGGGCATAGTAAACAGGGCATTATAAGCATCCCGTGCACCAGCTTAAACTTCCAATCGCTCAAAACAAATTAATTGGTAGTAGGTTCAATAGCATAATTGTTCCGAACAACTAGAAATCCAAAGTCAAAGTACAGGAAACTCACTATGCCTCATCTTTTCACTCTGCCCCTCTTTCCCCTATACCGGTTTACAGTGACATAAAGCTAATGGCTAACGTAAGATTGGTGGGGAAATTCCGGGGAATTACAACTTAAAAACAGTCAAATTAACTTCCTAAAATAAGGACCCGTTTGGTTTTATTAGACTCAAGTTTTACAGGTTGTGGTTCTCTTTTCTCATGTTTTGAGACTGACATCAGGGCTGCCAGTCATGGCAAAGGGATGGAACAAAGGTAAATGATTAGCAAGGTGAAGTTATGATGACGTCAACACTCCTCCTTAATCTTTACCCGACGTTCCACGAAATTCATCTTCGGTCAATCCCATTTTCGTCGACAGCTTCCGGTTTCTAATCGTTCCCAGCGGCTTCGTTAAAGCGTCGGCGATCATCTCCTCCGAACAAAGGTATTGCAATGTTATCTCTCCTTTCTCACAAAGATTGCGCACGAACATCTCCTTCGTCTCGATGTGCTTTGAGCGTTTACCGACCCGCTCCGATCGTACAAAGGCGATGCACGATTGATTGTCTTCGTGCAACACCGTTGGCTCCTTCTGCTCGAATCCTAGATCCGCAAGTAGTCTTTGTAGCCACAACACCTCCTGCGTTGCTTCGCTAAGCGCGACATATTCCGATTCCATTGATGAGAGTGCCACGATGCTCTGCTGCTTGCTTCTCCAGGCTACCACAGTGCCGCCCACGGTGAATACGAATCCAGATGTTGACTTCCTGGTTTTGTGGTCCCCAGACCAATCTGCGTCGGAGTAACCCATCAGCGTTGGTGCAGATTCAGTGAATTGCAATTTCCAGTTAAGGGTTCCACGCAGATATCTGACGACACGTTTCGCGGCCGTCCAGTCGGCCTCCGTCGGTTGGGAAACTTTCCGAGCAAGGATCGAAGTAGCAACAGCTATATCAGGTCGCGCATTCACGGAGATGTACAGTAAGGCGCCCACCAAACTTCTGTAGTTCACGTTGTCCGGGAGTAGCTGACTGTCCAAGTCGCCCCGAGCATAAGCTTCATCCATAGGTGTACGAGAAGATTTGGCATCACCCAAGCCGAACTGTTCAGCAACGCGCTGAATGTATCCCGACAGACACACTCCGTAATTTCCGGCAACACGGTCGATCTCCAGGCCGAGGAAGTACTTCAACTCTCCTAATCCGGTCGTCTCAAAGTGCTCGCTGATCTCTTCGTGAACTAGATCTATCTCCCCTTCATCGTCGCATCCGATGACAACATCATCGATGTAGACACTTTTACCTTCGACGTCACGAACATACAAGCATGGATCTGCCGAGCTAGCCGTGAACCCCATGTCATTCAAGACTTCGTTCATTCGCTGGTTCCAACAGCGTGCGGATTGTCGCAGCCCATATATGCTTTTGAGCAGACGACAAACGAATCCTTCTTTGCCCGGTTCAGCAAACCCCGGGGGCTGCCTCATGTAGACCTCTTCGCCGAGACTCCCGTTGAGGTAGGCAGTCTTTATATCTACATGCTTCAGAACCATCTTCTTGTAGCTCGCCACCGCCAGTAGCGTCCGGAAAGTGGCTTGAGTCACGACCGGTGCATAAACCTCCTCAAAGTCGACTCCTGGTTTTTGACTGCACCCCTGCGCGACTAATCGTGCTTTATACTTCACCGGCTCACCGCTGGCATTCCGTTTGATTTTATAAACCCAGCGGCTGCCAACCACTTTCTTCCCCTCCGGTAGCTTGACGATCTCCCAAGTCTTCAAATCACGATGCGATGCTAATTCTTCTTCCATCGCCGTCCTCCATTGATCCTTCTGCGCACACGATACCGCATCCTTATAGGTCTTCGGTTCGTTCTCCTCCTGAATGCGCACTGCGTTAATTTCTTCGATCAGGCGAACTGGTGCTTTCCCCTTGGTGCTTCGCTGCGAACGTCGCTGGAACTCCTCGTCCCGAAAGCCTTCGAAATCTGATTCCTCCGTTTCATCCGCCGTATCAAAGTTCCCTTCGGTGTCAGAAGAATCCGCTTCATCTTCCATAGTAGATACTGATTCATCATCAGGAACCTCGTCCTCCACCGTCGGAATCGGAGACCGATCTATCTCCACCAAATTCTTCGCCGGAAATGCACCGGAGCCTTCTTTCGCCGAACTGGTTTCCGGATGTCGCGATACTGCAACCGAGACTGGAACAACTTCACGAATATCTTCCTCCTTCGAGAACTCCTCGACGAACTTTGCATCTCTGCTTATTGTCACAGCATTCGTGTCCGGATCAAGGAACCGGTACGCCTTTCTTCCGTCCGCATAACCAACAAAAATCATCCGGATACTCTTCTGGTCAAGCTTCTTCCTCTTTTCTTTCGGTACGTGGA